AAGAAAAAATTCAAATAGCCTAAACAAACCCTGGAGTCTAGACAAGGTCTATGCAGTCAATGCAACTTAAAATATATTTATAATGAAACATTGGAATGTTCCCTAACTAGAATGACTAAAAACATACCTTTGAGGGTACCAGCCCAGCGACTGGTTAGTACTCTTTTCTGTAAGTTCATTTCTGCACATTTTACTGTTTATTTGCTGAATTTAACACATAACACAAAAAGATCCTGGGGCAGAATACACTAATGATATGATTATCATTTGAATAGCATTAATGGGAATCATACAGCTGAAGGCCTGAAGAAGAATATACCCAGGGGAACCTAATAAACTGTAAGGCCCTGTAGGTGAGCCAGCACCTTCTGTAATCTATCCATGCTCCACCAACAAATGCATTCTTATGTAATAACTGATGTGAGGTTAGAAACGCTTTACAGAATGCAGAAAAAATCTCCTCACAAATTGAGGTTGAAGTTTAGAGTCACTAAATAAAATGCTAAGCTACTGAGTTGGACTATGTGGTTTTAGCTAATCCAAACTAGGCAAGTTGGAAAAAATAACAAATTTGCCATCATGCTAATGTTAGCTTGACTGCACAGAAAAAACAGCATGACCTTTCACATGCACACATCTGGCCACAGTTTGTTTGTGAGAACACATCTGTGGAGAGAACACAGATCACTTGTATAACTACATATGGGCTTCAAAGTAGTTACCAGAAATCTACAAATTTATTGTAGATACTGAATAATATGTGTGCAGTTTAATCAATTTTCACTGTAACCAATTTCCTCCTGTTTTTGAGGAGGCCCCTCTTTTGAATTATGCAATTTTTCTTTCTTCAATAATGTTGATGGAATATGTTCATATTATGTGACTGTGTACGATTTTGGCAGTTGTACTGGATTTCAAAAGAATTAATAAAGAAAGCTGCAGTTGTTCGATTTATTTCAGCACAGCTGAAATAGCTGGTGTTTCCTTCGACTTCACCCCTCGTTGCTCACTAGCAGGTCAACAGAGTGTCATTTCAACACTTCACATACAGAGACCCAACAGTGTCCAGAGCGGTCTTTGCACTCGGCAGAGGTAGGCAGCTGCCTAGGGCCCCCATGAGCCAAAGACCCCACGAAAATAAAATTAAGATATACTACACTTTTGATGTTTGATAATCTATTATGAAATATATTAGTTATTTAAGTGCAGTAGAGAAACGCGAAAACAACAGGAAGCCAGCGTTCAAATGTAGCAGCATCAAGTCAACAAACCACAGACTGATCAGAAAGTAGCTTGAGACTTCAGCTAAGTTGGGTGAGATTCCTTGCTCTGCTGCCGTATTGGGCAGCTCGGTTCTATCTGCTTTATGTAGCTAAGTATCCTTATCAATCAGTGACACAGAAAAAAGCTCTCTGGCAGTTTCTTTCTATATGGTTTACTTTCTGTTAGAATCCTTAGAATATTATCTTGAAGGGTCATAGGGATCCTCTTTTATCTCCACTTCATGGGAGAGTTTCTCCTCATCCATTTTAAGGTGGAATGGCAGAGTTTTTGTCTGTCAATAGTAACGCATTGCATCACATTATGCCACTTTCAGCTGATAAACAGCTTCACTCTCCAGCTGTAATAGGAGCATTTTGGTTTTGTTGTTGTCAGTCACTGTTAGAACACCGTGAAAGAGGAAGGAAAGCAAAAAGCTTGTTGTTGCACTCCCAACTTTGTTTTTCAGTCAGAACAGAGTGCTGCACACACTCAGCAGTACATAATGTTAGTCTAGATACCTGCAGTGTTACTGAAAAACATTACTAATTACTTCTTTGGAAATGGGCTGGGGTTACTTTACTAATTACTCTGTGCTACACTGTACAAAATTCTCTCACTATATTGGCAGAGGTTCTTTAGTATGGAAAATGGTTCTATATAGAACCATGAACATTCAAAGCATCCTTTGCTTGATTAAGGTTTCTTTGCATCACGAAAGGGTTCTTCAGATTGATGAAAAACAATGTGCTATAGATGGTTCTATATAGAACCTTTTTTGAAATAAGTTCTATATAGCACCCAAAGGGGTTCTCCTATTGTTACGATGTCAATCTTGTAACAATAGAAGATGGGTGCTATATGGGACCCTTTTCAAAAAGGCTCTGTATAGAACCATCTGTAGCAAATTCATGTACATTCTCCATCAGTCTGAAAAAACCTTTCATGATGCAAAGAACTCTTTAACCAAAGTGTTCTTGAGTGTTTATGGTTCTAAATAGAACCATTTCTGTACTAAAGAACCGTTAAAGCACCATCTTTTTCAAGAGTGTAGTTCATCCAGTAACAGAGTTGGCAGAATGGCCACTAGGGGGCCTGCAGAAAGAGGCAATGGCAGGGGTGCCCAGTCTTGGTCCTGGAGATCAACCACCCTACAGAGCTTAGCTCCACCCTTCGTCTAACGCACCTGATCCAGATAATGAAGACATTCAGGAGCATCTGAACATTAGAGCCAAGTGTGCTGGATCTGAAATCTACAGGGTGGAACTTCTCCAGGACCAGGACTGAACACACATGGGCTGTGGAGTTAATTCTAGTACTGAAGATGTATTAAAATTAAAGATCATGATGAGTTTGTGTTTATATACAGTTATATGGTTTATGGGTTTTTTCTTAAAACAAATCCAACATGAAAAAGAAAAATAAAGGACAAATGACTACACAAATGTAATAGATAAGTAGTAAACCGTGCTCTTAAGCACCACAAGAAAAGAGAGCACTGGAGGGAATGTACTGGCTGAATGATTAATGTAGTTGAGTAGATTTCTTACTTGTACCACATCAGATGGACTGTACATTCTTAATGGTTGAGACTGCATTCTTCGTACGTTATCAATGATTAGATGATAAGATAACTGAGATTGTGTTTTGTGTTAGACAGGAAGAACAGAAGGAGAACAGCAGCTGTGTTCTGTTTCTGGACCTAATGAGGATATTGTATTTCCAGCTGTGTGTTAGTGATTGTTGGTGTTTTTTCAAACATGCACACTGTAATAAAGCTTGATCAACCACACACACACATCTTCTGAAACCACTTATCCTTCTGAGGCGCAGATGTGTGTATGTGTGGGGAGCCCATCCCAGCAGTTGATTAACCAGAATCCTGTTATTATCAGCATGTTCCTGTCCTTTCTCTTCAAATACCTTTCAGTTTCACAGTTTTTTCTAATTTTCATAATTAAATCACTAGTGGTTTTATGTGAAATGGGTTCTGTTCACAGTGGTGGTGATAGGAACTAGACATCTGACGCATTTCATTTTACTTCTGGTTTATAAATGTTTACATGCTCCTGTATATTTTGCAGGATCTTTTACTTCCTCAGACTCAGGCTGCAGTTTTACTTAGATCTGGATCTTCAAGTCTGCTGGTAGTTCCACATTCAAAGTTCTGTTCCGTGGGTGACTGTGCTTTTAATGTTATGGGTCCACGATCATAGAACGACCTTCCTGAGTCTCTAAGAAATCCTGGATCTTTATCTATTTCTAAAAAGAATCTTAAGACTTTTCTTTTTAGATGTGTTTTTATAAATGTTTGTTTTGTTTTAAGTAATTCTGGATTTCCTAAGACTTTTTTAAGACCTGTTTTTATGAATAAATTTTGCTTTGTTCTGGAAACTCTGGATCTTTCAAAAAGAATCGAGACTTTTCCTTTCAGATGTGTTTTATGGTCTTAAGAATCTTGTTTTATTATGAACTTTGTTTTGTTTATTCTTCTGTAAAACACCTTGTGTTGATGTTGTCACGAAAAATGTGCTACGTGAACAAAATGTATTATTAGTATGTATCATTTAATGCCACACATAGAAGGTTGTTACATGTTAAATGGTCACCAATACATTATCTGACGCCTGAGACATTGTTTTACGTTAGTTCTGTGATACGATTTTGGCCTAAAATGTATTTTTCGTAAGATACATGCAGGATGTTGTGATGAAGAAGACGTATGATTTATCACTGATTGACCATCATTACATATAAAAAACTCAGAACGTTCCCTGGTTTTGGATAACAAAAATATGCTGTTCCACCATGATATCACCAATACTCTAAAGAAATCAGAGTTGGTAACGGGATGGGATGAGTTGGAGTGGTGCTAATGATCCAGAACTACTCATCCAACATCAGCACCTGACCTCCCTAATGCTCTTGCGGCTGAATGCAATCAAATAGTTGTCTAAAATGTATTTGTATGCTGTAGCACTAACATTATCTTTTACTGCAAATAAGAAGCCAAAACACTAAACTTTACTGTGGGCACTATGAATTCTGGTAGATAGCATTCTCTTGGCATCCAACAAACCCAGATTCATCTATGAGTCTGACAGATAATGAAGTGTGATGATTCATCCCTCCAAAGAACATTTCCACTGCTTCAGAGTCCAGTGGTGGCTTGTTTTAAACTACTCTAGTCTATGCTTGGCCTTGCGCCTAGTCATGTAAGGCTTGTGTGCAACTGCTCAGCCACTGAAACCCATGTAATGAAGCTCCTGACACACAGTTCTTGTACTGATGTTGCTTCCAGAGGCAGCTAAGCAATTTTTATGTGCTATGCTTTTCAGCACTTGGCAGCCCCGCTGAGTTTGCGTGGTCTAGCGCTTCGTGGCTGTGTTGTTGTGCTCCTATAGACTTCTATTTTACAATAATAGCATTTACAGTTGGCAGATCTAGCAGGGAAGATATTTCATGAACAGACCAGTGGGAAAGGTGGCATCCTATGACAGTGCCATGCTCTCTTCAGCAGGCCCATTCTAATGCTAATGTTTGTCTATGGAGATTGCCTGGTTATGTGCTTGATTTTATACACCAGTTAGCAATGGGTGTGTCTGAAACACCTGAACTCAGGGTGGGTTTTCACATACATGAGTATGTACAGTAAAAGTAACTGTAGAGTGTAGTGATTGAGTGATTAGCTACAGATTCATTACAGAATGTGACAAATGAGGTTACTGACACAGCTTAGCTTCATTTTAACATTTAGAGAAAGTGCTATATGAACATAATCATGCATAAGCAGCATTGTACAGTATGGTGTTGAAATGTTATGGACTGCAGAGTGCACACAGAATAGGAAAAACAGATCACTGCGTGAAGTACAGTGACAACAAAAAAAGAATCTGAAAAGTACAACGTTCACTTCCGTCACTGATAATGTTCCAAGCCTCATGAGATATACTGAAAAACTCTACTTTAAAAAGAACATCTGTAAGGAACAACAATGCAAAGGTAGGTACACCATATCATAATTCCATATTGTGACATTTTTAAATAGGACTGTTTAAAGATCCGACAGCAGACATGCACACTGTAGTCATTATTCAGACACTGCAGTGATTCCTGACTGTGGCTTTAACTAACTTGCGCAATGTAGAGTTCCCGTCACTGTGGCTGTGGAATGCCACAACACCTGTTCAGCCACCTTTATCTGACACACGGACATCCATCCTGTCTCAACGGCTCTGTGAAGAAAACACGTTCATCTGTGAATCTACTGAAAACCTACTGAATTTAACCCTGTAGCTACATTTACAGTCAGTACTACTAAAAGGGGAATTCCACCAATTTTTCTGAATTCTAAGTTTGAGAAATAGTTTGTTGTGGAGAAACTTATGGACTCTTTACAGTAGTGGTGACAGAAACCAAGGTTTGCAATGTTTACAACGCAAATACAGTTATTTATTTACTATTCAAAACTACCAGTGAATTTACACGTCTTCTGATGTTTTATATGTAATGTTGATAATGAAAAATAGTGGCAAATCTGAAAAAAACTTTATCACCATGAATGGATTTTAAAAAAGCTTATCTAAAAAAAACTGTAAAATAATGTCTGCGGCATCAGGCAATACATTTGTTATAATTATGTGCAATGACCTTCTGTGAGGGAGCTTTTAGAGACGTCATATGGTACAGACATCTGGTTCCTATCATCACCACTGTGAACACTTCTGACTCGATACATTTATTTTGATTGGATTATTTCACATCAGACCACTCTAAATGACCTTCCATCGTAATGACTGAATTATACAGAAATTTAGAAAAACTGGTGGAATTCCCCTTTAAATTAAACTTGTTTTTGTTCTTTACCTCATTCTTCTGTTGAGACAACCTTCAAAATGAGCTGAAATGCTGTTTATATATGACCATAAGAAAAATTAAGCTACACAGTTTAGCAAAAGATCAGTAGGAGTCACATATGTGGATAAAAAAATAAAGCTGTATGATGATAAACATGGCATTAGTTGTTAATACAATGTCTGTGTGTAGCACATGATCCACTGCACACAAAGGCAAGACTCCACCATCGTCCAGCAGCTATCACTCACAGGCTGAAACATGGACAGAAAAATAAATAAAGTGGGAAAAGAGACTACACTCTTAAAATAGAGGTGCCAAATAAGGTTTCCTTGCAAGATGTGACAGAAGAAAAAGCGTAGCTGTTTTCTGTTATACAACCTACTATGCACTCTTAAAAATAATGGGTGCTAAATAGTTCTTGGCTTGTGTATATGGTTCTAAAAAAACGGCTTTAACTGGTATAGAACCTTTACATCATACTTTTAAAGAGTTCTTTACATGTGCACAAAAGAGTACTTTAAAGAACAATCCACTGAAAGGTTCTTCAAGGAACCAAAAGTGGTTCTTCTTTGACATCACTCCAAAGAACCATTTCTGACAGCTCTATTTTTAAGATTGTAGCTCATATGTGTAATAAATATAAGCTTTGGTATACAATGTTGAGAATAAAATTTCCCAAACCTTTTAAGTGAGGTTCAAAAAGAATCTTCAGACTCATACATCTCAACCTCACCTTTCAATGGATGGTTCTTTAAATAACCATTTTCATAAACGAGATGTGCAAGAGTGCAGAACTCCATATGATGTAAAGGTTCTATACAAATTAATATTATTTTCTACTATAGTATGTAGTTCTTAGGAGAACCATTTTGGTAAATGAGATTTGTGAGTGTGAAGAACTTTTTAAAATATCTTTATAATGTAAAGATTCTAGGAAGAATCCTTAAATTGGCCATCACAGTCGCAAATCTTTTTTTCAAACATGGTTCTTTAGAGAATGGTTTGTATTGCATTGCTCAATTAATCCTTTGTGGAACCTTTTTTTAAAAGCATATATGTTCGCACTGCAATAAGTGTCTCAAATGTAAATGGGGAAAATGCTCTGTCTGGAACCTGGATGCTTTGAGACAGATGACTGTACTGTAAAGCTGTTGATTATGTAAGCACTGATTATGTTGATTACGTATGTGAAGACATTCAGCTCCAAATTAATTTAGGTGTTACATACTAACCACCCAAATCAATCAATTTAACAGAATATGATTTCAAAACCCTCTGTATGTGTCTGTGAGAACAAATACTTGAGCATGTTCGTGTGTACTATGCAGCATGTTTTTTGTTTCCACAGTCATTTGGCTCTTGAGCTGGCTGCAGCTCTGCCTTGTGATCTTCACAAAAAGAGAAATGCCTCGAGGAACCTCACATTTAAATCGCATTGCACAGAATATACCTCTGTTATGAGGTCATAGGCATGGTGCCTTAGTTCTAGGAGTTTAGAGACAGTTTAACTTCTTGCCTCAACTGAAAAAGCTCAAGCTGAGTTAGTCAAATGGATAATATATAAAAAAGTGTCCTTCAAATAGCTAACATTAAATAAATAGATTTTACATCTACTATATACATTTTTTACATAAAGCTATGAAATCTCATAGCTGAGAAATAATTCAAAGTCTTGTGCAGTTCTCCAAGCAGGTTTTCCACTCGTCAAGACGTCTCCAGAGCTATAGGGGGCGCTGTTATTTTGAGCATCGGCCTGCTGACATTGACACGGAGCGAGTCAGTTGTTTCCGCTGGCCTTTTGGGTAGTGACGTAAAACAAAGTCATAGTTGGCTGAAGTAGACATGGCGTAGTAGACGTTGGCTTTGTCTGGAATGAGTAGTTCTGAAAATGCAGACAAGAACGTTAAACATACGAGTTGTTGTAATAGGCAAGATCTTTAAAGGGCCCATATCGCCCATAAACACATTTTCTGCATGTTTTTTTCAAATAAAACAGTCTGATGTAGTATGTAAACACTGTTATTCTCTAAATGTATCGTTCAATCCCTGGTCCATACAGCCCATGCATTGCTGCTGTCAGAACAAAGCCGTGTATCTCCAAAAGGCAAAAACAGCATTTTTTCAATTAACTGATTCTGTGATGTCACAAAAACAAATGCATATATCTGTCTATTCAGCCTATAGGAAGTTTAGCCCCACCCATTCCTTATTTTTATAAGGGCTTTCAGCCTGGACTTCTATTTAAAGGCACAGTACAGACAATACAAGGCAGTAAACCAGAACAGAATCATTAACAGACACAGTAACAAGGAAAAAGACAAGTAAATAAAAATGAATTACATCTTTTTCTGAGACAAAAAAACCCCACACATTAGTGGACCTCAGAGAAAGAATATGAGACAATTGTAAGATATGGGCCCTTGAAAATAACTATAACTAAAAACTAGTGTGTTTTTTTTCATTATTTGGCCTACACTCACCTCTGTCTTGCGCCAACACCTGAACAAGTGAGAAGTCCTGCACACTGGCATTCTCCAGGTTGTGCTTCTGCAGAGCTCTCTCGATCACTTGTGCTGTCTTATCCTGACTTGTTAGCTGAGAAGGACATGTCATGGTCATTGGAGCCATTTAAACATGTAACATAAACAGATAACTGACCACTTTGTCAATTCCACTGTTTCAAAAAGCTGTAATAAAAATGTTTGTATGCATTACTGCTTTCACTGCTAAATCACAGAAACTAAGACCAAGCACTACTTTTACGGTTCATTGTTTACACAACTGGTAGGCACTTAAAGAAACTACTGAGTTGTAGCATTAGTACATTCCCTGACAAAGCATGTACTGATGAAGCCTTGTGGGTCTGGTGTGAAAGCCGAATTATGCTTCCTTTGACCTTATGACGTTTACAATTTGTTCTCCAAATTTTAATCTTTTTTACTAAAGCAACAAAACTGTAAAGTAACATTAAAAAAAAAATCCTACTACAATTTAGCAGCCACTCTTATCCAGTTTAGCTTATAATGCCTAACTTCTTAATGTAACTGTTGTTGATGTAGCAATTGGGAAACAAATCTAGTCGTCCATATGGGATTTGATGGTGCTATCCATTATGCTGTCCAACCACTCAGATCAAGGCGACTACAGAAGCCTTGGTCTTACTAGAAAGAAAACTGTGTGTCCCTCTGCAATGCTAATTAAACATCTTATTACTTAAATAATAAAATATTAATACTTGGGCCTGATTTTCCTCTCTAATACAAGCACCTAATTCTAGCATAGGCTTGCCCCTCTTAGTCTACATCCTTTGAAAGCCCAGAAAAAAAAAAGCCCTGTTGGCAGGTCAGCACTCACCAGGATGCTCTTGTACATGTTGCCATTGTTGCTGCGCTCCACGCTGACCCTGATGATGCAGGAGTCGGCCACCTGCCTGTTGTAAAGGGGCAGGGAGGTCATAGAGACCGAGCGTTTATGGCTGAGCTTGGTAGGAGTTGAGGAAGAGGGTGGAGGAGGAAGAATGAGGTCAGTTGGGGAGCCTGAAGAGGAACAGGAGGAGTCAGGAGAAGATGAGGAGGGAAGAGAATCGGCCATGTTTTGGCAGGAGCTGGAGAGGGACTAGAGGAAGAAAGAGAAAAGATGCCTGGATTAGCAGAAAACCCGCATGGCCTTTTGTTCAGGCGCTACAGCATTGTCTTAGTGTTAACACACAGTTGCATGACCCATAGGGGTGCTAGCAGAAATTAGCATTATTAAAGGGGTGGGTGAGTTTTGACATTTGTAGCCCAAACTGAAGGCTTAGTTTTAAAAGTCACAGTTTGCTACTGGCCTGTATGTGTTGTTTCTATTGCCTCTGCTACAATGCAACTGAAATCTAATAAAGTAAATCAAGTGTGTTCAGTCGTTTTACAGTTAAGGGACATTGTAATGCAGAACTCAAAGAGAAGTAAAACCCCCTTAACTGTAGTAAAATCACTGTAAAACAAGCAAAATACAATATGATAAAACAAAACCAATTTTAATGACAAATTTTGTTTAATATAATATATAATAATTTAAAATAATTATTTATTTAATAATAATAATTGCAATAAACAATTCTTCAACCAATATACAAAAAACTTTGTTAACAGTAAATTAGTTTAATGGTAGAAAATTATTCCATGAACAGCACAATGGTTTTTAATTACTTTAATTAATACAGAATTCAACTGAGGTGTGCAGTCAAATGTGTGTGTGTCAAGTATATTCAAACTCAGGCAATCAGATTTGTTTTCTAAAGAGTAATAGGACAGTTTAACAAACTTCGCTCCACTAAGTAAAAAAGTTTCAGGCTTAGATCTGGGATGTTACCATGTGTGCTAAAAAAATTAACATGGGAAATCCCAGCCAGAAATGTGTAACACTGGCAACTTCCTGGAATTTCTAAGCACATGCTAAGCAAATTTAAGCAACTCCCTTTCTGAATTGTGAACAATGCATACAGATGTGGTCAGTCTTGTTGCACGTGCAGAGATTTCCTGTAATTGAAAGGCTTGACAGCAACTTAGAAAACAGCTTTGGGCTGGGATTTCAGCTGATGCCACTCAGAAAACTTAACTTAACACCAAGTATTCTATACTTTACACAACCAAAATGCCTTTCATTACAACTGAATACTGTTCTACAGTTTTCTCATAAGTCTTGTTTTATATTTAGAAGTATAGAATTATTATTATACTTAGGTTACATAATTACTAAGTAAATAATTACACATATTTTACATTGTTAGTTATATAGTGAATTATATTTACATTCAATTAGCATTTGCTATCGAAAGGTTTGACCCTGCAGTGTTTTCTGTTTGTTTTAATATCAAAAATGTACAGTATGTGCAAAAGTTTTAGGCACCTGTGAAAATTTGAATTAAATTTGGGCAGCAAGCATTTATTTTCTCAGAAAAACACTAAGAAGTAATTTTATGTATGTCAATGTGTTTAGTGAACCATTTCCAAAACTCTCCTTGAGAAAGTCCAGTATTAACTGTAGTTCCCGTCCAGTGCCTGGTTGGGTTAATCAGTGTTTCATTCTGTTAAATCAAGAGTGTTGTTCATATACTTAAACAAATCTGAATCTGGAACCAAACTTTGGTGTTCTAATTAGCTCACAAGATATCAATTACTAAGATATTGTCAGTACTTTCTACTGTATTCGTGCTTATTTGCATTTATTCTAATGATGTACAGAGTTCTTACAGGCACACACATACTTACGGCCCAGATAAATGTTTTTTTACAAAGTGCTTAGGTGTCAAAGACTTTTGCACAGTGCTGTAAATTGTGTTTTTTTTACACAAAACATGACCGTATGCACAATACCTTCATCAAATTCAAAGCATAAAATATCTCTTTGTTTACTTGCAAACACAACTGTGGTATCAACTAAAAGTTCAGAATCTTCAATTCAACAAATTTTCTCTGCCTGTTTCAATGAGCCTCTAGTGAAAAAATGTAAGATGAGGACTTATGAGGGTTAGATGAACTTTGAGATGTGGAGAATTTCCAGAATTTCAAGAACTTAATCAGAACAGTGTGTTTTAGAAAGCATCTTAGGTATTGCGTCAGAGAGCTTTAGGGAGGGAAGAGCGTGAAAAGGAGTGTGACGGCTGACGTAATGACTCAGCGATGCTTTGCTAAAGTGCCGTCAGCTATGCAAACAGTGTTCCAGTCGAGTCTCAAGATCCAGGTTAATGTACATTGGAGAACATTGTGTAGTCAATTGGCTGTCAAGTAAGGACGACATTGTGGATATCTAAAACAGTGAATAGACTGTTTGCTCACGTTACAATTAACGTGTTTTAGAGAGCGGATGTGAGTTATTTGCACGGCAGGTACACTGATGATTTAAAGTTGTCTTAGTTTAGCTAAAGTGACAGATGTTTAGTGGTGCACCTGACTGGACGGATGGATGTTTGTTTTGTGATTGTATGTGAGTTGGAGTATGTACACCTGCAGTACCTGTGCTCTAAGAGGAGATGAGTGATGTGTGGAGAGATCTTCCATTTCAGAGCTGCTGGATCCAGAAGATGAAACGCTGATCTGGTCAGCGTTTCTTCTTGAGCCATCACTGACACTCAGGAGGCTGCGTGCATATAGACAGACAGTGTGAGATGCTATGCACTTACTTGTCACTCTGGTACCTACCTTGTGGGTGTAAAGTTAGAGACTATAATTCATCCTTTCCATCCAAGATTAAACAATCAAAGTTGGGAAGAATACTTTAAAGTATTATATTTAAAGAAGTGGTGATGGCTGAATACTGAATACACTGTCCCAAACGTATTCAGCAACAAATTCAGTTACAATACATAAAAAGTAATGTACTCAAAATACATTCAGGATGAGAAAACCTCTGCTGTTGTAACTTTTACTTAATTCACACTGTTGGCAGTAAGATCGGATTGGACTTGCTTATCATTGTAATAAGGCTCTGAAACCCTGCACTCCCACTGTAAATTGTATATTCCTTTGTTAAATCCATTTGAAATTGAAAAATACTAATAAAAGTAAAAACTGCTTGCAATGAAATTATTTAAAATATAATTAGAATATCAACATGTCAAATTAGTCTTCACTTGTTTGGATTGCAACTTCCAAACCTACTTTCCATGGTATGTGATTTGTTGCATGTGGGCCACATTGTGTGGAAACATTGTAAAAAATATCATTTGATCAATATCAGCTTCTTATGGGGAAAAGATAGGCTACAGTCTGTAAACTGTAAACCTATAAAGTGCACTCATGTGGTAGGTGTACGTGTTAAAGTGGCCTAAGAGTGAAGACACAAGGTAGGTCTACCTATAATCCTGGCAACAATTTTGCACACTGCAACATACCATGCTGTTGCTTAACAAGTCACCTGATGCACTTCTCACCAAGTCACACTGCAAATGCTCATACTCACGAGGACAGCTTTCTGGTGAGTGCGCGGTGACTCCAGGCTCCACTACTAGATGGTGGACAGGTGTCCAGGGGTGGCTCCAACTGTCTGGACAACTCATAGCTGATAAAGGACAATCAGAGACAATGAGGTTTACATGCTTGATTAATAAATGAAGAACAGCTCAGTGACAGACAGAATCATTAAACATTATATAAAACATATGGGAATAACAAAGACCTCTAAATTCTTGAAACAGACTAAGAAAAAGAAAGTACAGCACTGTGCAAAAGTCAGAGACCACCCTTCATTTATTTCTTTTTCTGTCAAAAAGGCCATCAGGAAAATCAGGAAAAAAGCAGATATAAAAGGCAAGCATATATTTAGCAGACAAGTACACAGAAGTCTCAAAAACTAAATAAAATATCTTTTTTCATTATTTAGTGTTCACCCTGATAATTGCAGCTTCAGTTGTTTTAGGAGACACACCTTTAAGGGAATCTGCAGGAATGTTTTTCCCACACCTCCAAAGTTCAGTCTCAGTACCTGGTTGCATTTTTTTTTGTTTTTGAAGTAAACCCAAATACATTCAATGATGTTGAGGTTTGGAGGAGTGGCCAGTCCATTATTCTGAAAACATCAGCAGCTTTTTGTTTGTTGTTTGTTTTGTTTGATATCCACACTGTGATGAGTTGTCTTCTTACAGTGGAAGGATGGACATAAACACCTGAGGATTTTTTCAGATTTGAAGATTTTCTCCTCAAAGATGAAAGCTTTTAGTGCTGTTTATCCAATGGTGACAGTTTTGGTGGTCTACCAGGGCTTGTTAGGAGTCCCATTGTTTCTACTTCTTTTTTTAATCTAGCTTTTGAAAACAAACTCCTGTTTTTCTTTGACTTTCCTTTTCTCTTCCTTATGCAAGTAGACCATCTTATATCTAATTTCCTTAAAATATATCTTCAGAAAAATTAACTTGTACTTAAAGGCTGATTGCTGGTCTCTGACTTTTGCACAGTACTGTACTTATTTAAAAGCCAGAGGCAAAAAAAAACATAGTAATGAAATTAGCTTTTCTGTCAAGCTTGAGCCTCACCTCTCCTGATCTGTGAGAAGCCTGTGACGCTGCAGCCAGGCTGCAATCTGAGGATGATGAGGCAATACATACTGGGAGCAGGACGCCTGTAGCTGTCGAATCTGCCATAGAATCTCATACTCCTGCAGGCAAGAAGAATTTAGAGAGATGGAGATGGTAAATGAGGACAAGTTAGTGAGAGAACAGTTGGGTGGAGGCCAGAGAGCTACCATTACAATTATGTAACGCCCTGCTTCCACATGGCACGACTGAGCAGTCATAAGATTAGAGTGCGCTCACTGAGCTGTGGAGGGAAAGTTACTCAGAAAACCAGCCAAGTTTTACAATGCAGAGATATGAACCCATCCCTACAGTGTCAATACTCCACAATAAAGGATACTGGAGGGTTTCCCTGGGGCTCAAAACAGCCTTATCTCAGGGGCCACACCAGTGTGTATTTATAAAGCACACATGACCAACAACGCACGGAATGCACACACAGAATGCATTTAATGGTGAGAGAAAGACAGAAACTTACCCTCCTCCGCTTTTCGAAATTTATGAGGCCGCACTGTTAAGAAAAGGAAATGTAGGTTGATTAAAGGCTTAGCTACAAGTAACTACATACAAATGTTCTGTAATGCATCTTAATATTTAAATGTTTAAAAGTACCTAATTAATTGCACAGGGAGTTATGCAATTAATTACATTCACATTCAATTTACGTTATGTATCAACAGAATCCCATGTTCACTTCCAGATTTTTAATGTCAAAATATTTTAAATGTCTCTTTTTAATGACAAAAATGGCATAAATGTAAAGTTTTCTTTGTGCAAAGCAAGTGTGTATGCACAATAGTGACTTGTTATCAAATTCAAATCATAATAAAGCATCTCTTCTTCTACTTGAAAAAAAATGTGATACCACAATAAAGTTTAGCCATGAGTGAGAAATAAGTATTATTAGGGCTACGATTAAAATAATTAATTATAATAAACTACACAAAAAAGTGATCAATGTGTCTTATTTGCTCAAATTTGGCCTTAAAAAAGATATTTTTGACATTTAAAGCAGTGCATTTTGTTATAGTTATAGGAGTGGACATCACCTTCAGCAAAATATATATACTGCTACGTAACATCTTGTTTAGAGGGGAATTGAAGCTTTGCTGTTACTTTTGTTAGTTTGCAGCTCATTGATTTTTCAATAGTTCACCCGTTAGCACTGTCTAGCATAGTCTGTCAAATTACTGATTTTACTAGCGTCAGCAGCATGTTTTACTTGAAAATGCTAATTCAGACTCAATGTACTTCGGTGATAAACAATTTCACAGAATTGCAGCAGCTAAAAATAACCTTGGTTTTATCATCAATGGAACTTGTAATTTAAAACCTGTATTTAAACGGCCACAGTTAAATTAAGGGCTGGGCAATATAACAATATTTATCATCATCGTGATAAATTATGCCACAATATGTTATGATATGCTTCTCTGAAAATATCACGGATCTAGCCAGTACTTCTAAAACACTGAACAACTGCATGTTTCATTCAACATGATTATATCTTTGTATTTGTATTTTTGCCATATTGCCCAGCCCTAATTAAGCTGTACGTTTCATTCACAATTTCCAATAAAAATGAAAATGCTAGCTAAGACATTGACGTGCTTTCAGTATATGGTATAAGATGGTGTTGTATTTCACCTCCACAGTGTCAGGCAGTGCTGTATCCAGCATAGTGAGCACAGTCAGGTATGTTCCCAGGTAAGGCACAACTCCACTGGTGGTGCTCTGTGGAAAAGTGCAGGTATTAGCAGAAGTGTCATTAACTGAGATCAGTTAGTATAGCCAACAGACTGTGAGAATATAGTTTGTACACAAAACACAGTGTTCAAAAACAGGGCAGTGATGTTTAGGGTAAAATATAGAATTAGGTGTCTGTTTGCTCAGGACTGCTTATTTCATATCTTGCCCTTCAGTGCAGTTAATCATCACAGAGAGAGAGAGAAAAAGAGAGAGAGAGAGAGAGAGAGAGAGAGAGAAATGAAAACAGAAAGAAAGTTTTCAGCATGTGATTTCTTTTAACATAGAGTTTCTGTCCCAAAAAAGCACTGAGTAGACATAATCTAGCCCACTTTATGCCTGCTTCCTTTTTCAGACATGAGGCCAAATTGCTTACACATCTGCTGGCCTTGCAGTTTCCTTCTAATTTATATTTTATGGTTAGAGGAAGAACCATGGTTTTGTTTAGTAGAATAAAAGAAGTGATTATTTATAGCCTCTGTGCAAATTCATATAAGGGCTTTACCATCTGTCTGGACACGGGACATCGCTTGGACGTGCTGGGCGAAATGTTATCCACAGCTGCCTGGCCCCCATCCTGAAACATGTTGAGAGACAATTATCATCAAATAACCCTTACATACACACACGTCACACACATTTCACCCTCTCTCCCACTGTCCGTGAAATAAACCTTTAAACATACACTATATGGCCAAAGGTATGTGGACACTTATGTGAACCTGTTTCCCCCTTTGTGGCTACACCAGCCACCACTCTCCTGAGAAGGCTTTCCACAAGATTTTGGAGTGTGTCTGTGGGAATTTGTGCCCATTCAGTCAAAAGAGCATTGATGTTGGTCGAGAAGGCCTGGCTCGAAATCAGCGTTCCAAATCATCCCAAAGATGTTCAGTAGGGTTAAGGTCAGGGCTCTGTACAGGTTACTGGAGTTAATCCACACCAAACTAATCAAACCCTGTCTTTATGGATCTCGCACTGTGAACAGGGTCACAATCATGCTGGAACAGGAAAGGGCCTTCCACAAAATTCTGAAGTATATAATCGTATAAAATGTCTTTGTATGCTATAGCATGTTCTCCTGGCATCCACCAAACTCAGATTCTTTCTTCAGTGCCAGACAGCGAAGCTTCATTCATCACTCCAAAGAACATGTTTCTCCTGCTCCAGAGTCCCCAGCCAACACTTAACACTGTGCATTGTGATTTTAGGCTTGTGTACAGCTGCTCAGCCATGCAAACCCATTTCATAAAGCTTGTGACACACAGTTCTTGTATTGATGTTTCTTCCAGAGGCAGTCTAGAATTCTGTAGTGAGTGATGCAAGAAGGACGGACCTTTTTTATGTGCTATGCACTTCGGTGTTGGTTGACTACTAAGACCAGCAAGTGTTACTGTAGAGGTTTCCAGTCCTGCAATGCACTAGTAATGTTGTTTATTTTAAAATCAGTTAATCAACAGACTAGAAAAGGTTGATCTTACAGCCTAAGCACAAATTAACTTATTCGATAGTTATTTATTCCTTGGTTACTTATTCAATGGTACACAATGGCTACCACAGAGTGCTATGTGTATGTGTTACTACTTCTGAATAACACTGAGTGAATTCTGGAGGTTAAATAAGGCAAGGAAATGGAAAAGGTCACTGTAATTAGCTAAGAAACCTGATTAAACTTCATGGCTTTCTTAAAAAGTGAAAACAAGCATGCCTTTGTTGTGAACATTGAGAGGAGAACATTTTCTGAATTGTGTTTTGCTGTTTTCTTGGAAAATCATTTTAGACGAAGAACACCTGAAACTAATTCTAGACTAAAGCAAAATGAAAAGAGCATGGACAGCATTGCATCAGCAGCTAATACATATTAAATTTAACTTGTAAATCTCCAGAGCAACAAAAAAAAACAACCAACAATTGATCATAATCTCCAGTGGTTAACACACCCTGCTGCTATAAACTGGACAATTGCTTCATAATGACATTCCTTACTTTGCAAAGTTCATCAGACATAGTCAACATTAACAATTAACAATCTTTTAACGCATTAACAAATGGTGTGAGGTGTTTTTTAAGGGTTGGGTGAATGTCAGCATATTTTGCAGTACTGTGAAAACTCTAAGATCACTTTCAATTTATTTAATGTCCAGTCAAAATGGCCATTCAAAGCAAGTTATTAATTTTTCAGAAGATATTTCTGAGAAGATTAGATACAAGATAATCCAGTTGCACAAGGAAGGGTAAAGTCAAAAGAAAATAAGTGAAAAAAAACAGGAGTTTCCAAACCTAAAGCTATAATTTTAACAGAAAAAAAGATATATAGAAAACTGTTACCATCAGATAAACAGTTATTAAAGCTACTTAAAGCTTTCATCTTTGAGAAACTGGAAAAAAAAAAGCTCCAATTTTTTCTTCAAATCTGAAAAAAAATCCATAGGTGTTTCTGTCCACCCATCAACTGTGAGAAGACAATTCAACACTATGGGTCTGAAAGAATGTGTAGCTGTCAAGAAGCTGTTACTGACAAAAAAATAGACAAAAAGAAGGAAATTTGCTAATCAAACAAAGAAGCTGCAGGTGTTCTCAGAACAACAGACTGACCACCCCAGAGTCCAGACCTCAACATCACTGAGTGTGTTTGGGATTACTTGGATTGCGAGAAATAGAAAATGCAACCAAACTCTAAGACTGAACTTTGGAGGTGTGGAAAAACATCCTTGCAGATTTCTTTAAAAAACTGAAAGCAGGTGCCCTAAAAAGAATGAAAGCTGATATAAAAACAAAAGGTGGACAAACTACATACTGAAAAATATGATATTATGTAAGTTGTTCTATGCAGTCTTTTGTTAAATGTATGTTTTTAACTTTTTTCCTGAAGCTGAAAAATGCATAACTTGTACTTAATAGCTGCTTTTACTAGAGAGTAAAAAAATGAAAGGGTGGTCTTTGACTTTTGCACAGTACTACTGTTAACACATGGTTTTAGCCAAAACAAATCTAGCTAAAGTTAAGATGGAAATACACCATGAAATGTTATCTTACCTCCACAAGGATTTCTCTGCTAGTCAGTACACAGTTTTCATCAGGGAAAGTTTCACACAGGTTCTCAAAGATACTCAAGCTCTCCCTGGAAAAGTACAGAGCACAACTCAGCTACAAACATAAACAAACCGGAACACACTGTAACTCTGTCAGAATGGCTCCAAGTCATTTTCCACAAAACCGTACAGTATCAACACCACATCTTTGAGAAATTAGTGAGCATTTCCTTATTTTACCTCTCAGCTAGATAAACCGTCTGAAAGTGTGCTGGTTTAATGTCTACCTGCTCACTGAGGCCCAGGTCTTCCTCAGCCTGTAGATAGGGTTGGACTGCAGGGCAGACAGGATGGCCCTCAGGGAGGAGAAGTTCTTTAGCTGTCTGCACTCCTGTGGGAACAATTAAAAGCAGCCCATTACACCACCTAACAATATATATTATTAGAAATAAGGTCTTAATGGTCCCTGGTGTTCCAATGAAAATGAAGAACCATCACAGGTCCCAAAACAGTGGCAAAATTATCATAAAAAAGAGTAAATTTAGTTTACAAGCTCTTCATATGAGTGGAAGAACACCTTGACAATATCCTTTAGGTGAATACCGACTGTCATGATTACTCAATTAAACTTGATTAAACATGATTAAACTCAATTTAAAAATATCATTGATACAAAAATGACCTGTTCAGTGAATCAACAATGATTAGTTAGTAATGTGCCTGGCAAAGTATATTTTAAATTCTTCTACAGATCTCTCTTACAGTAAGAAACAGACCCTGATAGACACATTCATTTATACACATAATGTCCACAAAGTGTTTTTATGTATTTTAATGGAGCCTTTATAAGGCTTACTTGTTTATCTTATTCCAATAAAGTATTAGTGTCCACAAAGTGTTTTATATACTTTTAATGCAGTCTTTATGAGGCTTCCTTGTTTATTTTATTCCAATAAAGTACTTTTCATCTTTGAAAGGCTATATATGTTTGTTTTTATGTTTTTACGGTTCTGTCTTTCCTGTAAATTACTCATGTGAAACTAGGCATGTGCTGATCAAAAAACTGAACATCATGAGAATAACATTTATTTCAGTATTATCACAATTTTGCATGAAGAAAAAAAATATTATACATGTTCATACCTGTAGTGTTCTAAATGTCATTTCTTAATAGCAATAATGTGTTGCTTACACATTTAGGAATATTTGATTGGCAAAGCAATCTTGCCATAGATTACTAATATAATTAATAGTGACAGACTTTAATATAATTTTCTTGGCATGCAAATCCTTGGCAAAGGTTCTAACCTGTGCAACTCGTATCCACTTCTCGATGATTCTGGCTCTCTGTGTGGTACTGGACAACGGAGTGGAAGAAGGACAGATGGAGGGGCAAAGCAGTGAGGTGATGACTCGGTTAGTGATGGCGTTGAACTGTGCAATGGTGGCGCGGATGGTGGGGGAGAGATTCTCCTTCTTATCTCTCTGAGACCACACACAGCCCAAACACTGAAAGGGCACCACCTTCACAAACAACTCCTACAAGAACATACAGTGGTGATTAACATTAAAGGGACACTGAAGGATTATTGGACATGAGTTTGTATGAAGAAGCGATGAAGAACCAGACAAGAGGAGGAAACATCGTATCAAGACTCACAGCATCCAGCCTGGTGAGCTGTTCTGCGAGTCCTGTGATGGTGAAGTCCATGAACTCTGCTTGATTAGTTAGATCATCTGTCTCTAAGTCCTTCTCTTCCTGATCCACTTCTGGCTCATCATCCAGACCAGCCTGCTCATTATTCACAAGATCTGAATGGAGAAAGGAAACATGGTGAGCATGGCCACCTTACAGGCAAGATTCTGCCATCATGATTTAAGTGTACCTTATAACGCTGCTGTCGCTGCTGCAACAGTAACTTTACAGGAGGAAAAAGTTCTTAACTTTAATGTATGCTGACATACCAAGATTTTTGCAAATAGCTTTGGACCATTGCTTTTGGTCCCTTTATCTTGAAATGTTTATACAGGGTAAGGGTTCAACAGGAACAAAATAAAATAAAAACTAAAAAGCAAAAAATATGACAATGACAACAAATAGTAATAAACTGTAAAAAAGTGCATAAAAAGTATAACAACATGCAATGCAACAGCAAATGTCTGACCTTCTGCTTGAAATCTCTTAAGGAGAGCCTCATAGCGCTTGGCCAGAGGAGAGAGGGAGGGGTGCCGTCTCAGCTGAAGGCACATCAAGCGCAAAGAAGAGTGCATTGGAGAGTCTCTGAAATCCTCAGCAAACTCTTCCAACCAAATCTGGAGCAAAGTCCACAAAGGGCTGAAACAAAAACAACATACTGAGCGTTTTCTTATCAAAAAACATCATAATAAAATAACAGACTATTCTTAACAGGGCTGTTCTGATAATCTGGCCTGTTTCGAGATTTTTAAACCACTTCTGAAGGCAGTTTTGTCACTGATTATCCCTAACCTTAACACAAGGGCTTTCCATGGAGACTCATATACAGAGTGATTCACACATTCCAGGTTTAATCTGTGCCCGGAATACAAATCTTTGATGTTCTGAAACAAGCACCAGCAAGTATTAGCAATGGGGCATTCATTCTTTAGAAGCCCCAATACTATTTCTATCAATATATTTAAATTCCTTTTAGATCTACTATGCCCGTCACAGTTATTATGTAGTCACCTGATTGCAATTTTTTAACCTGTTGAAATTATTTAAGCTGACCACAATTATGTTCCACAGTTGTTAGCCTTCACAATAATATGTTTACTAGTGCAGTGAATATAATGTGAACTTGGTGTGTTTAAAGCCACTGGGTTGAGGCAAATACATCTACGAAAAGGTGCTGTAACACCTTGAGAGGGCAGTGGTGAGTAATGTTTGTTTATTTGAGCTTTAGCTGTTTCTGTTGTCAGTTGGGAGCTATTAAGGATCAACAGCTAGGAAGCAAATACTTTAGGCTTGAAGATTTTAATAGTTGTAAACACTGAACAAAAATGACAAATTTTATGGCAATTAATCATCAGCTAAAGAAGGTAAATCTATAATAAAACAAAGCCAAAGCAGGAAGAAATTTTTTATCCATGATATACTATGCATCTTACCTCTTATGACATTTGTTGTTGTCCAGTTCAGAGGCAAGAATGTCCCTGTTTATGACAACAGACAAAAAATATCACATTTAAAATGGTAGCAGAACGAAAACTGTTTACAATTCACCAGTTAGTTATTTTTAGTCCAGAAACAGGCTTAACGTGTGTCTAAGAAGAGGGCTGAATATAAAGTTATGTTAAGACTTATTATTAAAGTATTTGCAAAAGCACCAAGACATTCATATGTTAAATTAGACTACGCAGCAAAAAACACAGTCACTTCTATTTCTGATGGCAGCAATACAACAGGAGTCCTCCACACCTGTAATGAGCATTTGGCCAAAAGCACCAATTGTCTGCACTCCAAACATGCTGAGACACAGCCATGCCGTCTGGGAAGAATGACATAATATGACTAAAATGACCCTGTCTTTGTTTATTGTCTTTCCAAGTGGTATATTTTAAAGAACATGTCCTTTACACGAGGCATTCCACCATCGCCCAAGACAACCTTGAGCAGGCTTTGTAGACTAACTTCACTGGTGCGATGCACCGATTCTCTGGAATGTGTCTGCTTTGGGTAAAGAACAGATAAAAAAAGGCTTGTGGCATCTGAGAAAATTAATTCAGTGAATGACGGCAGACTCTTTGAAAACTAGTACTGGCTATGCTCCATGGTGTCAACATTTCAAGAGAAATCACTCTAGGCTTATAACTCCTCCAGGAAACATCTCTTTCATAACAGAAATGAAGTCATTTCCAGCGACCCATGGAGACCAGTCATGGGATGTGAGTTCAAGGCAACAGGCTGATGGTGAAAAGAACATGGCAATTAATTATTGTGATGAAAGCAGGAAACTCCAGGTGGGACAGAATGATACAAAACAAAGCCAGACACACATACACGCACATACAACTGTTTCCAGCCACATATGCACATAATCACACTCATATACACAAGCATGCAGTCAAGCACCAACACTGATCTGCAAATCACTGATGCACACAGGGATCAAGTAGTAACCTACATACTAAGGGTGTAAAAGGTTTGGATCAAAATTAAAAAATGGTCACAGCATTGACAGGACTATGATTTTGACTTCTATGCTTTCTTTCCTCCATCAAACAAAATAATGTAATTCTACTTATGGATCGGTACACTGTAAAAATGGTTTGTCAGTTCAACCTAAAAAAATAAACTAATTCAATAGCTTGTCACCACATAAAGTAATTTTTTTTAGGTTAAACGGATAAACACTTTTTACAGAGTAATATGGCAAAACGTAATATCATAATATTTTTAGGATACACAATACATATCACAAAATATTGTTTACCTGAAGTTTGATAAACTGAAATAAAATGCACTGACAGTGCCACATTAAAAAACACCACCATAGTCTATGACAACAATTTTTACCTAACATTTTACTAAATCGTATTAAATAGGACTAATTGTGTTTTAATAAAACCTGCAGTGTTCTTAAAGTACTGACGATATTCACAATATGCTCAGAAAAACGTAAACGTAAACATAATGTAATTTATCACAATAACAATAAAATATCATCATATTGCCTACTCATAGTATCAATGTCAGAAAAAAACAAAAGCAAACAAATAGCAGTTTCGATTCAAAACAACTGGCAATTCATTTATAATGAATTGTTGTCTGCAATGCAAACACAGCTGCACATTATTGTGATCTTAAAGACCAGTGGTCCACACAGTATTTTTACAACAAGCACAGCTTAAACGTTAGCTAGCCTGTTCTAGTTAATGCTAAGGTGTTAGCCTTGAGGGTCTCAAGGATATGGCACTTAAAGAGACAGTTATGTTCTTATGGCAAATTTAATGTTTTGGTTTCTATGCATTATTTTCGTGTAAAATATGCAGGGCCCCTGAGTGCAACTGGCTAAGTGTTGATCCTAAAACCCAGAGATCTCCTGTGGCCGGGAAGCCCAAGAGAGCACAATTGGCCTTGCTTTCTCTGGGTGGGCAGGATGGCCCTCTCTCTATCTCTCCCATCCCTCAGCACGATGTTAGCCAGTGTGGGAGTCTGTAAGCTGATGCAACAGAATAGGCAGTTAGCGCTTTCCTCCAAGCTTGTTATCCAATGATGTGTTAATGGCAGTTCAACAAGATGTGGGGGCACTTCACATGACTCAGAGGAAACGTGCTATCCTTCACCCTCCTAGCGATGGTAGCACTGTGTGATGAAGTAATTTTATATAAGTGAAATTTTTTTTTTTTTCATCAGGTGTGCTGTGCTTCAACATTTTAGTAATAACAGTTATTATTTGCAAATGTATTAAAAACAATGATGAAAGATGAAAAACAAAAAACAAAAAACAAAAAGCAAAATGAAGACTTTTATTTTTTATTGCTACACCCCTATTACCAACACACACATACCTCTGGAAAAGCATCTCGATAAGTTCATTGGAGCTGGTGAAGGTGCAGTATGTGGACAGAAGTATCCTCCCATAGTCCTGTTCCTGACAGCAGGGATCGAGCAGGTGAGCTACAAGCCGCTCCAGAGTGGCCGCTTTCAGCCTCCGTACCTTACACGTGCGGTACTGCACGAATGCAGAACAAGGACATGACTCTGTGGCCTCGCTGGACTGCTGGACGGGCTCTCTGCGCAGGGTGATCCCAAACACTGCACCATCTTCAATCTCCTCACCCCACTCCTGAACTGGATTCTGGAATAAAACATAAAACACAAACCTTTTAGAGCTGAATAATGAATGTATTAGGGATGTAAATCTCTGATTTTGCATTTGATTATGATTACAGAATCGTAGAGCCTTATAGAAACCATTCAAGGCATAATGAAACGTTAAATATCACCACAAATTCATTTGATTAGTTTTGTATGATTCCTTTTGTACGATTTGTATTTTAAAATATATCGAATGTGACTGAAATAACAATTTACACAGTAGTAGAATACAAATAATCAAAACAATACGACAAGTTTTTTGTTATTTGCTTGTTCTTTGTTTGAAAACGCCAAAAAAAACACCTATTTTCTTTAATATTATTAACGTTGGTTGTGACTGAATATAGCAATCCAAAAATCCAAAATCAATGCAGGTAAATCACAACCTGCAGATCAGTGCTTTACTATGCAGTGATGCATATTTACACCCTTAGTGTGTACTGTAACCTTGGCTATCCATTATTTAACAGGCTTGCAGCTAATTCTGAACTAGGTCATGATTATAGTAGACAGCAAAATGTGGCCTGTACATCACAGCACGAGAAAACTTAAATTTAGCTCAAACTGGCATAAACTGCGCTTCACATTAAAAGAATCCTGCTTTTTAGTCTACTGTTTACTGTTTACAGTTGCAGAGAAGCACAACAGAATTTTTGTCCATGGTAGCTAACTGTATTCTGCATATGTGGCAAATACAAATTAGGTTGACAAACAGTGGAGTATTCCTTTAATTTTGTGGGTCTCAAACCAGTCCTCAGGTACCCCTCAGATATTCCATATTTTTCCATATTTCCTTATTTCGATTCCAACTGCCAACGCATAGGGACTGTCCAGTACCACTGGTTTAATGCACAACCCCAGCACAGCCTGCAGTCTACAGTACAGTTGGGATCTGTAAGATGTATATACAGTAACACAGAAGGTTGTCAACTTTCACGGTTTTGGCTACTAATTTGTTCCAAATGTAAACTATGGTTTGCTATCATTTCATATACTAATTATCTACCTCCAAGATTGTTAGAGTAGTTACTCAAAAAGGTAATCCATTACAAATTACTATTTACATCTTTTAAAATATAATGGAATTACTTTACTTAATACTTCCTGGAAAAAAGTAATCTCACTATTACTTTTTTTCTAAATTATTCTCTAAAACCCACACAAATCTGTACCAGCTAGAAAGTGTGAGAGAAAATTTATTTCAGTGCTTTATTAGAAATAAAAACAATCACAGTAAAAACAATGTAACTCTACCAGCCTTTAAACAACACAGCCACTTATACTTGATTAAAATCATTAATGGCGTATGTTTTTTTTTTAAACCTAAAAATTAGCCAGTAGAAGCAGTTCAAAAACTGCTGCCTCAAAATACACTTTGCTCTAACCCTGCTTGAAACACACCTGTACCACGTATTTAGTGTGTTTAATGGCTTTGTTTAGGTGCCTGAAGCTGAATGAGAGCAACAATGTGCTAATGAGTATTAATTGTGGTTCAATTATTGTTTAAGCAGTATAACAGTGGATACGCATTTCTGCATGCAAAATTGAAAATCTCACTCCAGCCTCACTCCAGCCACCTGAAAATCTCACCCCAGTTACCAAAGTTGGCAACCCTGCACAGTAGTCAGCAATACACTGGTTCATACACTATACTTGAAACTCTTCTTAAGGTATGAGTTTTGTCATAACCTTTATACTGATATGCTACAAATAAGCATGTGCTCAAATTTAGAAAATACATTTTTTACCATTTAGCTGAATGGCTGGCTATCTAATGTTGTTCAGTTCCACTTCTAGCATTTTAGGGCCATCCTAGAATAATATATGTCATTATTATTCTACAAAATCCTTTAAAAATAGATGTACCGAAGCATCCAAAAAGGCTAATACGTATATATACATAAACCACAGTGATATACTGAAACAATCAGAAACGAATGAATAAATATGAAGTTCTGGCCATATTTCCCACATGAATGACTTTGAAGGGAGACACATTTTCTCATAGTCTCACTGTTCCGTTTCTAACTCTTTTGTTTAGTCCAACCTACAGCTACCAGCAGCCCTTAGTCGCTTGTGTTTTGGGAAACAACATCGAAGCCTGAGCAGTCAGCTAAAAGCAGAGGAGTGTAACCCACAGCAAACACTCACAGAAACAGTCAACACACGCTAACTCCTGCAGAAAATGGGCCAACAGTTGATGTCAGTAAAAGAGACAGTACAGTACAAGTCAACACAGGAATAATGTGTGATTGGAAACACAGGTGAGCTTCTCACTGGCTAATGTCTCGCTGAGTAACCTAACTACAGACCACTGCAAAAGCTTATAATGAGCAGCTGTGTGGTATTTAGACTACTATTTATGGTCCATTAGTGCAACAACAGCAAGCCAAACACGCGATTCCACAGGTGAGCCACCCATGAAGGCTGATTACAGCTCCATTCCAAAGGTTCAACGTGTATCACTGATCACATTTTATTGGGCTGTCGCTGTTAGTCATCAAGTGATCTAACGGTTACTTTAATGATTAATCGAGTTTTTAAAAAAAAACAAACAATAAAAATGCTCTTAACAACACACCATGTCCAGCCTTTCAAAGATTTCAGAACACTTTATTGGAAAGTAGAGAAACTTGGAAGCCTTTAAAACAATAGTAAACTACAAAACCTGCACTTAACCCTCCATTTTAGTTTAAAAAATGGAACACTAATCTAGAAGCACACACATCATGTTCACACCAGAGATCTAAAAGCCATTCCAGAGAATCACAATCTAACACATCTACCTCAAAATTTCAATAACATTCTGAAAGTTATTGCATTAGAAAACTTAAACATGGAGTTGAATTCATCTGTCAAGAAATAAAGTCTCTTGGTTATAAAATGTCTGTGAGAAGGAGTACAGATACACTGAGAATTCCTGAATTACTTGAATCATGAAAAGAGAAAAGGTGTTCAAAATGTTCTGGCCAACTGAAAGAGAACATCCAACAAGGCTGGTTGAGCTTCAATTGTTCAAACCCATGCACTCCATCTTTTCAATACTTTAAGTTGTCAGCCAAAAAAATGGATCTGCAACAAAACACTAACCCCCCCCCATAGCTGTAGTAGGACTGATGTAGGACTGAGGAACAGGGAGGAGATGGGGTGGCGGTGGGGATTACGAACCGTTCGTCACAGGAACGGAAGGTGAGGATGTGAATTTATAGGGTGTTAGAAGGAGGGGTTGCAGGCATGTTCATCCCCTAAACTTCAGTTTTAACATTACTACATTTAGTAAACCTGGTTGTTGCTGGTTATTAGTTTCTGATGTGAATGAGGAAAAGATAACTAATAAAGATAATAAACAAGACATAAACTGCGTTCAGAGAGTGCCCAATATTGCTTTTGAACATTGCAAATGATTTCTATCAGGCTCTGTTTGCTAATGTAAGATTAGTGTGAGAATTTACAGTAAGTATTAATAAGATTCAAAACCGGTAACTAGTAATTTCCAGTCTTAGACTGGACACAGTCATTTTAATTACATGTATTTGGTTCAACCCAACTGATAGTACATTCTGTTTGTTGCAACGTAAACATATAAGAAATCTATCAACTGTGGTGAGCTTAAATAATTGCAATCAACTCCAATAACTGCGATCAGGTGATTATGTAATAATTGTAACAGGCCTAACCGCAGGGCTATGACATATTTTAACTGGAATTTCTACAAAAGAAAGGATGTTTAACCATGTCTCTGTTCATGAATGTGAGCGTCCATTTTCTGTCAATCGATCAATAAGCTTCCATCAATAATGTATGAGCAGTGCTGAACTAATAAGAACACACTGTCTGAACTTTCCTGTGTTCACGGTTATTAGCTGCCTCAGGTGCAACCCTTGATCTCCAACTCTAAATGGAGTATGAGTTCATTATTGTTTCTGCTGAATAATCATTAGAGGTGTCCTTTGTTTAATGTAAATGCATGAACCTGGTGAATAAAAAGAACCATCACTGGAGAAACAGTTCAAAGGAAGAACACCTGGAACATCGTTACACAACAAGGACAAAGAGGGAACAATCAGAAACACAGCAATAATAGTCTGCATTAATATTACATATCGATTACCAGCTATCCCGCCGTCTGCAATGATGAATCTTTTATACATACCCGTCACTTTTTTGTCACAACTCCATTGTACATGTAACTTTCCATCCAATTCTTTGTTTAAGTTTTCTTTAATGGTCACTGTTGCTCTACTTCAGGTGGACACAGCCTTGCACCTGTATCTACACTTAGTTTACACTCACACTAACACTTACAGATACACTTCAGTGTCAATAATTTTCTAACTTGAGGTGCACGATAAACAGCACATTTTATTATTATTTGGTAGATAATGGAATTACCCAGATAATTACATCCAATAATTTAGCACCACATTTCAAAGTGTGTGCACACACTGATGCATGTGTAGTTACTAGTGCTGAGCATTTACATTCTTTTCAACTACTGCAAATGGATAGTGGATAATACCACCTCTTTACACACATACAATTGAAGGTTTAATGTTCTGTTCAGAAATAAACACCACTGCTATACAAATAAGGGGCTGTGGATAAGAGCGTTTTGTCACTATTGCAACAAAACCTTGTATCTCCATTTTAACTGTTCGCTTTTTTGTGTACTTGACACCTTTTATTTTGTGTTAAATTTCGTGATGACTGCACCAACAGAAATGATCCAAAATTACTTGGAAATAAAACCTGTTCCATTAACTTTCATCATAAATAAATAACTTTTTTTTTCCTTTTCCTGTAAAGCTACCATTTTGGAGATACAATTTTTTGTTCTGACAGAGACAATTTGCTAAATAATGTCAAATATTAATACAGAATAATGTAAAGGTTTACAATAACTGTCGTGTCTGATATATGTATCTGATATTGATATTCCATGTAAAACGATATGAAAAGTAGGGATGCATCGATACCAATACTGGTATCATGTATCAGTCCTTTAGGTCATACTCAACCTAATAAAAAATGCTTCGGTACTAACATCTAATACCAGCTTATATCATGTGACGTAAGTCTAGTTAGTGTATGCTGCCACATATAAAATATAAAAACCTTTATAAGCTTTGATCAGATATGGACTGAAACTGCATGTAGCTGGAGAGCAGGCCCTCCCAGAGCAGGGCTGGTGTCCCTGCTCTATTCCCAACCTCCGAAAACCTGCAAACCCACAAGAACGATATTTTCATCTCTCTTGGCCAAAATATACCCTTCACTCACAACTTTCCTACATACTGCTCTGAGTCAGAGTTTCTCTCTGTTACACTACCAGCACTGCAGCCTGATACAATCAGGTCATAAGTGTCATGTTTCGCGTCAGTAGTGCGCAGGCACGAGAAGAATGGCCACCAGCTCAGCTCACCAGCTCACTAGTTCAGCTCTTCTATCATTTTACAAATCTCCATTCTTTCACATGACGTAAAGATCATATGCTAGGCAGTGCCATGACTTTTGCTCTAGGCTGAAGCACAGGTGCCCTGCAATGAAGTGGTTTACTGATATATATGCAAACGAATGTCCTGTTGATTACAGCCATAAACAACGCAGATCCAAGTTTCAAAGAGTTATGTGATGAGCATGATCTAACTAGTTGTATAACACTTTTTCAATTATCCAAAAGACACCCAGAGATCGTCATGGGTGTTCCTGTTCAAATCAAGTGAGATAATTCTGTCCTTAAGCCAAGCTGCACAGATACAAAGACAGCCATGCAAGCTGCAGAACAAACTGCTTTTGTCCATCCCAGTGTCCATGTCAGAGAGCCAAAAAGCACACAGCAGTCAACCAGAGGTATACGAGGCACATACCCACAGCCAAATCAGCTGTGGGTGAGTTTTGCATTGCCTGGTGCGTCACACTTATATAACGCCTGACAATGAGACACAGTGAGAGAAAGAGGCTCTGAACTATAGAGACATTTGTGTTAAATCAGCATGTTATCTATTTTTTAACGCTATTCATTAGGGGTGTAAGCATACATATGTTTAGGTTTCATACGATTAACGATTCTGAGGTCGATATTTGATTTAATTTTTGATATTTTATGTGTTAAAATGTCTCTATTCTAAAATTCTCAAACTATATGCCAGACAGATTCATCTCATCTCAGAAAAATACACATTTTCTTTTTCAAAACAAAAGTCTTTAAACTAGTATGTCATTGTGCAGAACAGTGATATTATAAAACATATTGCCTCATATTAACCTTAAAGTAGTATGTCTCCATTTTCAACCCCACAAAACCGAAATGTCAACATCATATAACACTATTTATAAGTTACTGCTTAACTTTCTTAAAGGTCCCTCACAGCTCTCTCTCATTTTCCCCTCACTGATAAAGGTTTGAAATGCTCATTTTTCACATAGTTTATACTATATTGAAATAGTTGTTTGTTGAAATTGTTATAACCTTGTTATCCATAATACAGTGGTTTGTTCTAATGGGTGTAAATCCTTATCTACATCTCTATATACTCATAGTCTCTATATACTCATAAAAAGCCTGTATCATTTATATATGAAAGGTTTCATTCCAAAACACACTGTAAACCTCTTTCAAGAATTTTCTTTCTTTTTTAACGGTATACGTTGTTAACAGTGGCTTTACACATACAAGTAATATCCGTGCTATTTTATGATTTATAACACCTTAATTAGAGAAATAAAAATGTGTTTCCCTCTAAAGTCCGCTGTTGTCCTTTTAAAAAACTTGTCATATCACTAAATTGTAACATATCCATATATAGCATTTCAGAATTAAAGTCTTCATACTGTGGAAATTCACAGAACATGGTAAATTAGTACAAGAGACAGTTTCCATGCACTGCATGTGAAGTAAATAGTGATTAGTGATTAAGGAACTGAGAGAACACAGACTGGAAAGAGAAAGTGGCAACGTGTGAATAAATAAACTTAGCTTGAACCGAAACGACTAAATGCACAGCCAGCTAAGCTGCAGCCACACAGCGCCAGACAGTTAGAGAGAAACTTGGCCTTGACACAAAAACTCAAAACGCCCCTCGCCCTTCGACTAGCACTCAGTGACCGAGTCTGACAGTCAGCCCGCACAGTGAGCGGTGATATATGAACAGCAGGTGGAGGGAGAGAGGGAGAGAGAGAGAGAGAGAGAGAGAGAGAGCGAGAGCCTTCAGTTCACTGTAACAGTTACATTCACAGCAAGTACAGAACTACAGCGGTGTTTCTGAACGAACTGTAAATAAAGCACCTTTAAAACGAGAGAAGACACACAGCACTATCCAGATTTAAGACACTAAACAGCGTTACCATGGTTAACTCCCATTTTCCCATGTCTCAGGCAGCGTCCGGTGAGAGTCCTACGGTGTAACGTTAATTCCCTCCATGTTGATCTCTGGTCGTTAAAATGAACACTAAACGGTTCCGACACTGAATCGGTGGGCTGTGAGGGGTCTGTTACTCAAAACCAGAGCCTGGGTGAAGACGGTAACACGGCTCCGTTCTCTTTAAACAGACCGCTCGGTTACAGTTCGGTCTCGAGCCGCTGGAGAGAGCCTGTCGTCACAGCGACAGTGAGCAGCGTCTCCTTCTGTTTAATGGAAACGCAGACACGGTCCCCTCTCGCCGCGCGCGCTCCCGTTTCCACCGAGATCTCCCGCCTCCCTCATCCCGAGCGTCCTGCGTCGAGTGGGAGGAGCCAAAAGCGAAAGTCGGCTTCTGATTGGTGGTTGTTCGAGTAAGGGGCGTTCCTGTCTCCACAGTAACGCGTTTATAAGATTCCCGCCCATTAGCGAAATAACTCGATTCTAGGTTGTGTCCGGAACCGAGAAGCTCCCTTTACTGTCTGTGCTGCCTCATAAGTCACTACCTGGACAGCAGCTTTGTGAAAAGGGGCCTGCAACCAAATCGCGTTTGAGACGAACACAGCAGTCCCTGCCACAACATAGCCAAACTACTGACAGCCCACTGCTAGGTGTTAGTATTTTTATTTCCCCCCAAAAATATTTTAAGAGGACAAGGATACTGCATATTTTATGACCAAATGTGGTGTTTTACATAAATTAAACATTCGCCTCACAGAAAGAAGCTCTGATGTTCAAAAAGCACAGATGTTTCACTGGGTTTGTTGGCTAGGCTACCTAAGCATGTGGTTAGCTATTAGCTTACATTAGCAAAATTAGCAAACAGACTCTTGACACAGAACATGAAATGTATCAGAAAGACCTGCTGTGCTTCTTTTTCCGAAAGAACAAAAATAAAAGAAAATACTAAAAGAATGCAATAGCTGTTTAGCTTAAATATAAACACTTTTTACTCTGTAATAGTCCTTTAAAATGAAAATAGCTAAGATGAAAACTTCACTAGAAATTTATGTATTTGTTATTTTCAAACCATGCCCTCACAACCTGCAACATCATATTCATTATGTATAATTATAAAACTGTAAAAGATCAAAATGATTCTATTCAAATAATACATAAAAAATTGCATTTGATCAAAATATAAATGTCACATAGCGAGGATTCTCATAAATCTAGTGCTCCTTATTTGGCCAGTTGTGTATAAGGCCGCCAAATATGGTGTGTGATTATTGTGCTCCAAAAAGGTAGTGTAACATAACATTTAGGTTATGTTAGATGTGAGTGGGTGGAGTGACATGCCTTGAGAGCATCAGTTTATTTTTGATATGACAGTAGCGAGTAATGCAAATTACATTGTCTTTTTGCTATTCATTGAAAGACATTTTCATTTGTGGGTCATTTTTTTCACTGGGGCTAATAATATCTCTTCTGGGGGGGTGTTATTTTTTAACTATTGTCTTTTTTACATTGTCACTTTGGACAGTAAAACACTGTACCTTTAACACAAGCTGGTGGAGGTACATTTTTGCCACTGTTTTATTGTTTTATGAAATGAATCAGGTTTTGTGTGCTGTATCACTGGAATAAACTCATAGGCCACTATTTTGCTTTTCAGTCTATTCAGGTGATACAGTACACAAAACCTCATTTGTCGGGCCATGTGATAGAAGGCTTCAAATCAAGCATGCATTAGAGAAAGCACATGCATGTCACCCACAGGTCTCTTTAGCGACCTACAGGAGTCCCATTTCGCCACCCATTTCAGTTGAGATGTCCTAGTTTTAAACCCATCTCATTGGGGACTCATTATCCATATCATTATCCATTCACATTTGTTTAAATGATATTTGCCTGCATTTGTAACTTGAAACGTGGCACTTTCTGCCCACTTACAAAGAAACCAGGTCACATCTAAAGAAGTGAATGCAAATACATTCTCAGGAACATAGTATCACATTAATAAGAAGTGGACACATTTTTACAGAACACAGAACAGGAATTTTATCAGATATATAAGCACCTCAATTCCTCTGTTATGGCCATTAATGTCTTGGATTTTTGGAATTAAAGTTATTTATTTAAAACAAGTTTTTATTTGTGTGATATTTTATTATTTATATGCCTAATTTCCATTTCCCCTTCTGCTGCATCAGTGAATGTGCCTCCTATGGCTAGATTACATACATCAAACCAGTAAATGAACACAAAGTGAGCTGGTCAGTCAGATCTGATCTTCATTAGCCTGTGTTCTGTTATTTTAAATGAGTGAATATGTGGGAAATGCTGGGGGTAGGGGGTCATTGTAAAGGCGTAGATGCAGAAGTGTTGGTGGTATGGTGCCAATGAGCCAGCCAATGTATATTATTTCAAATGTTTTTTTTTTTCATATATTTAAATAAAACTGTCAGGCACACTTCTTAGCTGATTAATGTCTGCCAAAGAAAAGTCAAGGATCATAATTTTAAGAGGTCTCATCCAGATACTTAAGTCTCAATTAGGGTCAAACACACAATATGTCCAAATGTGTGTAGATACCTTCTTATTCAATGTTCCTTCTGAAATTAGGGCTATTAATTGGGAGTTTTTCCCCTCTTTACTGTTGTAACAGCCTCTACTCTTTTGGGTAGGCTTTACACTAGATGTGTGTTGGAACACTGCTGTGAGGATCTGATTGTATTGAGTTATAAGTAGCAATAGTGCAGTCAGCTACTGATGGATGATCTGGATCGCAAACATCACTCCAACTCATCCCAAAGATATTGGATGAAGCTCCATCACTCCAGAGAATATAGTTCCACTGCTCCACAGCCCAATGTGGGGGAAACCCTATACCTTCCTAGCACGGCTGCTCCAGAGCATCCAATTCTATTAGCAGTGCTTTTCTATGGAGATTATACAAGCTGTATGTGTGCAATTGAATGCCTGTGTCAGCAATGGTTGCACCTTAAAGCAACTGAATTCACATATTAGAAGGACTGTCTGGATACTTCTGGATATTTATAGTATTTTTTAGTATTATAACTCTAGTCCAGCATCAAGCTCCCTGGAAAGAGTGAGTCCATCTACATCATGAGTCTCTACCAAGAGAAACTGCATTACTTCATGATTAGGAGAGTAATATTAGATTAGAACTGATGAAAAACTAAAAACAGGGAACAGTCATCAAAAAGATACTGGGATAAATGGCAGGTCAGAACATAATAAATTTAAAGGTATCTCATGTGACACATAACACATTTATCGCACCGATAAACAATCAAATAACTGTGAAATAAATCTATCTACAGTTGTGTGGAAAACCTGAATAATAAAATGTGCAGATCTCTGTTCTCTGTAGAGGATGTGTACTTAAACTTTTGCATGACTGTAAGTGTGTCACACAGATCCAAAACTATTTGCACATGAACACACAACAACTGATGCCACTTTTTCACTTTGGAAAAAGTGGCATTAACTTGGATTCCACAGATTTTTTTCCAAATTTCTGCAAAATTCCATATTTGAGAAGCAAACAAAGTAAGTTTTCTCTACAGTGGTGGTGACAGCAATGTCAGTAAATATCCAATACAAATATACACATACAAAATTTTATTTACTATCCAAAACTATCAGTGAATCTAAACATGTCTTCTGGGTTCTTAGATGTAATTGTGATGATAGTAAAATAAGATAAAACATCTCAGCAATTTTCAAAATGTCATTTATTCTTTAAATTTTAGTCCAATATCTCTGTATTTGCTGAGTTAAACATACTGGAAAAAGACAGAAAATATAAATGTGCCATAACCAAAAGTCATTTCACCTGAGGTGCAAAATTTTGCATATAACAGTATCTGTACATTTATAATATTTGTAGTAGTATATGAAAAATGAAATTAACAAAGTTTATTTAGAGTGGTTCATAATGGTTAAGACTATGATGTCTAACTTTGTAAAATTCTTAAATTAAGCATATGGCTTTTCTTAAATGTCATTTATTCAAACGAAACAAAGTTAGAATAAGTTACAATAAACTTCTAAAACTAAAAACTACACTCTTCAACAAGAAGAAAGGTTCTTCAAGGGTTCTTTAGTAAAGTATAGAGAATGCATGGAGAATGAGTTGTATATTGTTCTATATAGAACCTTTCCGAAACAGGTTTTATATAGCACCAAAAAATTCTTCTATTTTTACATGTTACACATCATAACAATGGAAGAGCCCTTTTACAACACATTGTCCTTCAATCTGAATAACCATTTCACCATGCAAAGAACCCCTTAAGCACGCAAACGATTCATTGAGTGTTCATGGTTTTATATAGGAACACTTGTCTTTACTAAAAGAACCCTTGAAGCACAATATTTATGAATGTAAAAACAAAATGTCCCATTTTATTTTTTCATGTAGATTAGAAATAACTGCAGACATTAAACTGGACGTGTCTGTATTCTGAATACTTTCAATTTTGCTTTCCTTGTGAGATAAAATGAATTTAGTGAGACAAGGTGACCATCAAATGTCATCTTTATTATACATATGAAACGCAAAAGTTGGCAAAAGTCAAATGTCAATTGGCAGAAGAAAAACTATAAATTTGTAAGTATAATTCTTTTGGCTGAATATGTAAAGATACAGAAATATTCCCCAGCAGTTCCCCATGCAGTATGTTAAGCAAGCTTGATAAGTCAAAAGCCTCAATATCTTAATATATTAAACACAATATACTTGGAAAACTTGCAATACAAACGATACATAGTCTAGAGCTTTATTACACATAACCCTATTTAATAAGGCACTCATTAAAAACACCAAAAAAACAAATAAGATTAAACACAGTTGAACGAGTCTTTCAGGACAAGCTGTGTCCTTTTGGGTACACTCACAGAGACCACTGAGCTCTTTAAACGTTTAACTGTTTATAACTTCGTTTGCATAGAACGTGCTGCGCTAATGTCAGGCTTTGTGGAAGAATGTGGAGGAACGTGCCTCAAGCAGGGGTGCAAAATCAGCCTGTTGAGAATTTCTCATCAGAAGAACATCAGTAACAAATGTTGAGCTCAATATAACAAGTCTCCACTATAGTGACAGACAGTAATACTTTCAACAAGTCCAACAGACCAGGATGCTCCTCCCACAAATGTGTTTTTCCTGGCAACTGTTGTGAGGTTGTGAAGTTTCCAGTTTAAAATGCTAACCTACTGAGATGAACTATGTTGCTGTAGCTAATCGAAACTAGGCAGATTGGAAATGCTAACATGTTAATGTTAGCTTGATTACATGCCAAAATAAACCCACATCTAAATCAATTACATCCACCCCATCCGATCTAAAACCCTTCTAACCCATCTTTAAAAAACCTGTTTTGCTATCTTTCATAAGGCTGAATTAGATTTTTGCCAATGTTTTGTCAGGCAGTTTAAACAAAAGAGCCCTTTTGTGGGTGAAGCATGAATAGTGCAACTTCTTTTTTGGTTCTTTTTGACCTATTTAGGTTATTATGTCAGCAGAAACTTCTACTCAGACTTGTTTTTGCATGACTTTTAATTATGGACCAGAAGATTTTTCTTCATTGGTCACATCTCCTATAGGCACATTCCCACTCATTTTTTAAGTTTAAGGCCTTAACTGCGCCCCTTTACTTTGGCTTTGGAGTGACTGAGCTTCATGGTGCACATCTTCTGACCACATGGGGGCTCTCTCATTCTCTCTCTGCTACTTTTTGGACTGATTGTTCTTGTTCAGGATTTTGAGCAGAGAATCTGGCATCAGGTAAGGCCTCTCTGGGCTGCCATCATTCCGCTCCAGGTCTTCACCTGGTAGAGATACAGAACATCGGGGGGTCAGGAGAACATGGGAAGATGAGGAACAAACACCACCGGCATTGTTTATTAGCCACCCTTTTATTGATGTGTATTAGAAAAAGCAGACATGATAAGGTACACTCTTTAAAAAGGTGGTTCTTCAAGGGTTCTTTAGTAAAGAAAATAGTTCTATATAGAACCATGAACACTGAAAGAACCCTCCGCATGATTAAAGGGCTCTTTAAATAATGAAAGGTTCATCAGACTGATGATAAATGTGGTGTAGATGGTTGTATGTAGAACCTTTGTGGAAATGGTCCTATATAGCACCCAAAAGGGTTCTTCTATTGTTACAGAAATGAAACCCTTTTGGGCGCTATACAGAACTATTTTCAAAAAGGTTCTATATAGCACCATTCATGCACATTTTCCATCAATCTGAGGAACTCTTCCATGATGCAAAGAACCCTTTAATCCTGCAAATCATGTTTATGGTTCTATATAGAACCATTTTCTTTCCGAAAGAACCTTCTTTTTTAAGAATGTACTTAAAACACTGACATTCAAATTAACATAGTTGCCCTCCAAACTCCAGTTAAATCTAAGAACTACAGCCTAATTCATTACATTTCAGCAAATAGACTTTCCCCAAATCAGAGACAACAGAATAAGTAACAGGAAGAGTTTTTAATATACGTTTAAAAGCACCACTCCAAACACAGAGAGAGAAAAGAGGAAGGAAGAAAAGTCTCAAAAGGACGTATCGATGGTAAAGTAGGACACAAATAGTCCATGCATTTCAAGGCAAAGAGGTTTTTTACTGGGCTCAGGCACAGTAATAAGGCTTGTTGTTTGGAAAAAGTGCAGCAGTACGCTTCAAAAGTAAAAGTGAGCTTTGTTTGATTTGTCCAAAAACAACACAAAATAGCATCAAATTATGTGTAATTAAACAGCATATGAATTAATGAGGCATGAATTACTCTGTTAGTGGAACCTTTCAGCCTATGACATTCAGAATTAAAAAACCTAAACAAAAACTTTGGCTGTAGTGCTACTGTCTAGAAAATGGCTTACAGATTCAGCAAAAACTAGCCTGAGTATCAGCTTACCGGCATATTGCTATGAACATTAGAGAGATACTTACGCTAGTAAAATCCCTTGTAATGTATATGTGTTAGCAAAGTAACCTGTAAATTTTTTTCTTCAACAGACAACAGTAACAAACATTTCAAACTACTAACTAGTGGCATACAGATACACCTGCAAACACCATATGGTACAGCTGAGATTTAAACCTGAATTCTAGCTGTAGAACTTGCATTCACACTTCCAAGCAATGCTTTTATGAGCATTTCCTGCCATTTAAAGGACAAGTTAGGTGTTTCACATTGGCATCGCACTGGTGGCACAACATCTTTTGCCTAAAGCACTGTATCCCACTGATTTGGTCAATTTTAAAATGTGCAAATAGCAACAGTACATAAGTTTGTACATAATCATGAAAATATTTGGTTTTATATACAACTGTTGACTTGGAGGACTGTGGATTTGGAGGAAAGGCTTTCGACTGAAACAGGTTTACATCATCTGTGGAAGAAGGCAATTTTTTAAAAACATTTTTAAACCATACAGAGCCTTAAAGGTAACCTGCTAAGATAGCTAGCTAGGGCCCTGGTGCAAGATGAAACAAGAAACAGCATGAGATTCCTTACTGTCTCAGGTATGTTCAATATGGTTACTGCTCTTGTCCCTCTTCATTTCCATAAAGGAAACGACAAGAAAGTGCCCACAAGTGTGACCCAGAAGGAACCTATTCTGACACCCCTGACCTAAACTTTCAAGCCCAGCTCCAAATGGTACACTCAGCATTTCTGATTTTGCTTGCCACAGGTTCCCGCAAGAACCGCAGCGATGTAGACTCATAAGTGACCTAATACCCACATTTCTTTGAGATACAGATGAGGACCAAACATATTGAAGTGGTTTGTTTATAGCTGTCTAACAAAGACGGCGAAAAAAGTGGTATTTAAATGCAAGTAAAATGCATTAGCTTATTAATGTAGCTTGTAATCTGAATTTATTAATTCACCTTGCAATCCGAATTCAGATATTATAGCTAAGCAAATTAGCTCATTTAAAAATAAATAAATAAATAAATAAATTTAAAAAACCACACACACCACCACGATCGACCAATATGCCAGGTGCCATGCATGCAGAGCCTGTCCCAAATGGATGCATTTAAACCAAGCACCCTCAATTTTTTTTAGCTTATAGGTCTCTATGTTGTAGACACCAATATACTGAGCAACTTACTGGGAATAGCACATACCACAGTATGGAATTGTATCCAATACCTGATTTTGCCATAGTCATAATATAAATGCTTGCCACTGACTGGATGCCACTGTGATGGACTAACACCAATCTCATTCTTTAAACGCAGTGGACAATTACTTCATTAAGAAATGTTTAAACAATAAGGGTAGGCATGATGTATTGACTATTACTGACATTGTATATCATTACGGTGCTTTTTTTTTTTTACAAACAATTTATCATTACAATATACCTCCTTTATCAGCTACTGCCTTTGTACAAGAATCAAAGTATTCAAAGTGATTAATCTTTGTCTGCTTAACACTAATGTGTTCCAGCCTCATTCCTTGGAGTCCTTTCGCATTTTCAGTGGGACCTCCTCGTCCTGAGGTGAAGATGGAGAATGGGCCATGGGCTCCTCCGTGCTCTTGGAAAGAATTTCGCACAGCGTGGTGGACATGTAAAACGGCCGGGCCGCTGAGCCATCGTTGCGCTCCAAGTCCTCGCCTTTTATGTTTGAGCAGGAACAAGTTTGTACATGATGTGTGTAGGCGGCCGAATTGGTGTGTTCATGCATGTATATGGGAGTGAAAAGGTTGAAGTGAGGAGTGTTGTTTTGTTTGAGAATGGATGTGACACAGATGGAGAGTGGGCATGGAAAACAGGAAAGGAAGGAGGGTGAAGAGAAGAGAGAGGGAAAAACAAGGAAGAGGAAGGGAGAAAAACTGTGAGTTACAGGATAAAGTTAAACCAGGCCAAAAGCCAGCAGAACAGCATTTTAGTCTCATGAAGATGGCACAGTGCAGTAGACACAGACAAAGTGAAGAGAGTTAAGAAACCACCTTGCAAACACCTTTGGTAAATTCTGTATTAAAGGGGAATTACACAGACTCTTTCTCTCAATTAAAGAATCAGGACAAAGGAAAAATAATAAATGAAGTAATTCAGAGTGGTTTGATGTAAAATTCTCTGTTCTACAGAAGGCAGCGTTGTTCACAGCGGTGGTAATGGGAACCAGACGTCTGAAACATAATGCCTCTGAAAGCTCCCTTAAAGAAAACTATTACATGAAAAAGCTATGAATACACTGCCTGATACCTATGAATTAAGATTGAGAGTTTTGAGATTCGGGCCAAAAATGTATTTTTCAAATTCATTCATTGCGCTGAGGTACATGCAGGGCACTGTAAGGGAAAATAGTGCCCATAGAAAACTACCACAATTTTACCATTATAAACATAACACATAAAAAACTCAGACATGTGTAGGTTCACTGCTCATTTTGGATAGTAAATAAAATGAGTACATTTGTGTTGAGCCAATCATGACTTCTGGTTCCTATTACCACAACTGAAAAAGAAACCTAAGTTTCTAAGTGCTAAGTTTCTCTACAGTGAAACACTTCACATCAAGTCACTTTCAATGACTTCGTTGCTGACTGAATTATGTTGAAGTTTTGAAGATCTGTGAAATTCCCCTTTAAGTGCCATCAGTCTGTTAACACCAACATGCATGCATATAGTGGCATGCATGACATAGGAACACACAGGAGCACCAAGTAGCAGAGCACAATGTAGAAACCAACAGCTACTGCACATGCTGTACTGCATCTACTGTAGTAGTTTTTAAAAATGTAAGGCTTTTACAATTCATTGATTGAACTTGATTATAAAAATATTTAATTAAAATTTACCTTAATAAATCAGCAATTTGCTTGATGAATTTTTTGAAAGACCTATATTCTACATTCATTTCTTGTATTTTATATTCATCATTTCAAGTATGTTGAAATCTTTTTAAGCCTACGCATGGTTTATTTTTGTTCAATCAATTAAAAACAACACACTTTCGCTCTTAATATTAATAATCACTACACTACTTGACTACTAATAAAATCGATAGTTGCAGCGCTGAAAATGGAATAGCTCATTCAATGCACTTTCGTGTAAAGTAGGAACATAATTGTGGCAAATTCTTTTGACCGATAACTAACATTCAACGAAAAAATGCAGCCTAACGTAACAGATATGAGAGTAATTTAATGTGGTCTACTTACATTTACCACATATTAGCCTAACTTGAACAAGTGGCCTTACTGGGACTAGCTTGATCATACGCACAGTTTAAACAACAACCAACATAGAGGACAATAGTAGCCTAACGTAGCACTCTGTCATGTGGCTAAATATTCTAGTTGTAATAGTGCTGTAAACTACATTTAGAATGGATTAATCTCTGCTACAACCCTTCAACAGCAGCTCTCAGTAAAAATTAAGTGGAGCTGAGGAGTCAACTCCACCGACTGCAGCCTGAGGAGTTGAAAGTCAGAAAGCACATAGTTGTGCCTCACTACGCAGGGCTATCAGAACAAGTTGCACTTTTGTACAATATAAAAGCAGTCCTCACGTTCAATAAAAAACCTGCCTGTTCAAATATCAATTATTTGTCAGAAATTAACTTTATAACCAAAAGCAATGATTCCACTTTTATGCATTCATCAGTTAGCAGTTATCATTAACTTTCCAAATGTAATGTGTTTTAATTTAAAAAGGAACACACAGCATGATTCTAAACATGGTATAAACTTTCCTTAAGTACTCACAGAAGCAGAGGAAGAGTGTGTCCACACACATGGCATACACACTGAAGAAGCCGTGTGCTATAAGGTAAGAGCCCACGACAATAGTCTGTGGAAAGAATGCACACAGAATTATGAGAGTATTTACATACTTGTTCGTGGATCTCACAACTATACACAACCTAGAGTTTATTTTGCCTGTGCTTGCTAGTCGCCCATCCTTAATGGGACTTCCCAACATGCTGATTCACACACACATTCCTCTACTTCTTGCGGGTTGTTTACAATACTTGATCAGTACACGGATAATGTGAACTGGCATTAAATCTAATCTTCACAGATATTTAGAATGTAACTGTACAAACCATCCACATCTTGGCTACAACGCAACTGTACATTCTAGATCTTGTCAATTTGCTTTTACAGTGATGTTGTATATTGCATATTTAGGCATTTCTATAGAAAACAAATTCTTATTTACTGTATGTACTCGACAAAGACTATGATTGCTATTCTGCATTGCAGAAGTCCGGTTTATTCTCTCACCAGAATGGGCACCCAGTAGTAGTGCAGATTGGGCACAATATCCACCCCTTTTGCTCTCCCAGAGAAGAAGAAGAAGGAAATGATTCCTGAATGGAAACAGGGAGAGAAATAGTACACAAAAGCAGAACACATTAATAAATTAACTAGATTTTGCCAGACTAAACTTTCTCATGGGCCAGAAAGTCTATTCTAAATGGTCATAAGACCTACTTTAGAAGCTTACTCAAGAATGTAAATCACTTTAATATGCTACTTTTGATAAGTGAAAAAGAGCAACTAATCTCTCCTTAAAAGAAAACAGCATTTTGTATGCATAACTCACTTGTGCAAATTTGAACACTCTCATTCAAAATGGTTTGATGTGAAATGGTTAATTGTAGAGAAACTCAGAAACTCTGATTTCTTTACAGGGGTGATGATAGGACCCAGGGTGACGATGACCACGCAAACACAGTTTTTTGTCATTCATTACCATTAATTACCAAGACCACTAGTAAACCTTCATGTGGCTACTTGTTTTTATATGTAATGCTAGTGGTGAAAAAGTTTTATCTGAGTACTACGACACGTACCTGTGAAGGAATTTAGAAAAGAAAAATTTATGCCTATCATCAATGTAGTGAACCATTCTAACACTGCCATTTCACATCAAGCCATTCTGAATGACTTTGTTTACATCTTAATGATCTAAAAATTAAGAAATTATGAACCCAACAACATTGGTGGAATACCATTTCAAAGCAAAGAGCAGAACTCTGATTAAAAAAACTGCATTAAAAAAAATCAACACAAAAAATAATCCTAATCAGTGTGAAAATGATCACTGTGGCAAGAATTTCACCATTAAGCACACCATAAAGAAGAAGCGACCACATGGTAGGTGATGTCAACTCATTACACTAAACTTATGTGTAAACATACTATTGGTGAATGTGACAAACAGTTTATAATAAATAGTTCATACATCTCTTTCATTATTCAGTCATGGTTTTCAGTCATCCTTTTTAAATAATATGAACAGTTATTGGCCTAATATTTATGAGCAAGGTTTGCATTAACGGCAGAAATTCCAAGTTTATCAGTGTTTATTCTCTCCACATCTTTCAGTGCTAGGAGCAGATCAACCAACATTTTAGCACAAACCCTATCTGTGTTAAAAAGTGTTGCGATTTACTAAAGAGGAGCAATGGCCATTTAGCGCCCATAAAAAGTTCAACAGAGTGGTCATTGCTATTTTGTTATGTTATAAACTTCAATGATCCATCAAGATAAACTTGTCATTTTGCTATCTAACTACATTTAGTTAGAGAGCAGCACAGCATCCCCAACAGAGCAGTGTCATCTAAGGCAGTGGGGTGTTGAGTGCCTTTGCATCTACACTTACATTCACACTTATACCCTCTCAAAGTGCAAAATACATGACAAGATCTTTATAATGAACCATCTACTTTGACTTATCAAGGCTAAGAGTAAATACAGACTTGATTATATGTACTATTTAACCGCTATGAAAAGTCTTAATATTTAACACTAACATGACGGTGCGGCACTGATATTGCTCAGAGACACACAACCAAACAAAGTGGAGTATCATTTATTTGTGATAAAGTCAAGCTTTTGATACGAAAGTCAGTTTGGACATACTGCTGCCAGAACCAAAGGGGGGGGGGAAGAAAACAAAAAAAAAAAACATTGCTCTAACATCGCTCTTCTAAAGAACCGACTTCGATATTAATAATAATAATAATAATAATAATAATAATAATAAAAAAAAGAGGATTACATTGGGCATTTATTAAGCTGGTAACATTATGAAGATGCATCTATGGACATTTGCATAAACATTCATAGCTGGTAACCTGCTCCCTCGCCCACTGTCTCTTTTAGTAAATCTTCCCTGGTGTCTTGTGTGGTAATTATTACTAACACAGCAACATCCTTTCACTTACCCACAACCCCCACAACAAGGAGTTTTCCTAAGAACAACAAGAAGTCTGTGACTTTATCCAGGACGGCCACCCTAGAAAGAGTCAAGCAATGAAGACACTCATTAAAACAAAGAAAACATCGCGCTGCCAAATAAGATTATAGCTAGCCATGCAGTTTGTTTAGGTGTGACTGGCTCCACCCACCTGATCACATTTCTCATCAACAGGAAGAAGGCATCTCGGGCAGAAGTGCAGAAGTTTTTACCATAAATGGCACACTGGGGGAGCACGGAGAGCTTAGTATGCATGTGTCTTAAAGAACTACAATGAAAATTCTTGATCAAACCCAAATTCAGTACATAATCAGCTGAAAAACGAAATGGAAAACCAAAAGAAAGAGTGTTTTATATAAACTGATGTGCCAAAAGTCATGGGACAGGAACTAGTATAGGTATAGGACCCTCTCTAGGCTGGTGAAGTGCCACAACTCGACATGGCATCAATTCCACAAGTGAACGGAAGACGTCTGGAGGGATGTTGAGCCATGCCATTTGGACAGCCACCCACAGCTCTATGGTATTTGTAGTGGTCACCAGTCAATGATGTTCTGAGGCGGACCAGTGGATCCAACCCATGTCATAAGAACACACCCCACACCAGTATGGAACCACCACCAGCCTGCACAGTGCCTTGTTGACAAGTGGAGTCTGTGCGTCACATGAACACTACCATCAGCCCGAAACAACTGGTGACTCATTGGACCATGACACATGTTGCCAGTCTTCTAGGGTCCAGTTAGCAACCTCAGGAGCCCAGGTGAGGTGCTGTGTCCAGTGTCGTCACGTTAACATACGGCACACTGGTGGGTCTTCTGCTCCCATATTCCATGGAAGCTACAGAACGCTGCACCGACCTGCATATGCATGTGGGGCCTCTTGCATTGAATATGGATGCGATTTCTGCCAGAGTTGCTTGTCTGTTTACCCACTGATGCCCCATTCACAATCATTAGGCACCTGTGGGCAGCCGCCGCGCAGTCCACTGTGGATAATGCCTTCTATGACTTATTCCCGGTACACACGTAACACTGTGGATCGAGGAACGTTAAATACTCGCACAACATTGGAAATTAGATGTCTCATCCATCCGGCATGCACTATTATGCCTTGTTCAAACTCCGATAATTCACGTCGCTTTGCCATGAGCTCGCTGACCAGTGTTCAACCTCACTCACAAGGTAACACCTCACAATGTATACAGGTGTGGGCGTTCCCAAGCTGCTCCCTGAAGTAACAGCACCTTAAAATCAATTTACATATTGCAATCCAATGCCTTGTGACCCGTCAGTGTACAATTTGTGATAATTTTCAAATGTTTTGAATTAACGAAATAATGTTAACAATGTTTCAAAGGTAATAATAACCAGGTGGAATATAACTCTTCATGGTTTCCCAAAAGCATCTAAAGCTAAATTCCAGAGCGCCTCCACTATAACAACAAAAAAAAAGTAATGTGTTTTATTATGTAATGGGGATATCACTTTGGAGTGCATCTGTGGGCAGAACACTGCTCTAAAGATATAGCTAACACTACACCTATAACACTAAAGCGACTTGTGCAGCCCGCATGCTAATAGCCCAGACTGCTATGTGAGAGTTCCATATAGTGTTCTGAAACTTGTTTAATGCGCTGTGACACATACCATGATGTAAGCATTCCTGTTGAGGAACTTGATGAACTTCTCCAGGCACCAGAAGCAGCACTTGAGGCAGCAGAGCAGAAACTTGGCAAATTTGTTCTCTGCTCCTGTGTAAACAACACATAACCAAAGACTGTGGGTTACCCTAAATTTAGTCACTCAGCCAAGACATGTTTTTGTTTTCTTTTCTTCAGCCTGATTCTTAGTGATTTAACATAAAGAAACATTCTGGTGCACTCTGAGAATGAAATATAGGACGACGACGACGACGACGACGACGACAACAACAAACATCATGTCAAAAACTGTACTGCTTTCCAGGCTTTAGACCTACTGCTTATCAAAGTCAAAAGGTCATTGTGTACAAAATTTCGCAGACACCTGATTTTGCCTTCGCCTCAACAATTATTCGAAAAACTTTATATTATGAACATTACCTGCTAACAGGCCTGTACTGACTGCATAATGCATGTCATGTATGGACCCTGATGATTACCACTTGAGGTGTAATTTTTAAATAGTTGTTTATCTCTCAGCAGACAGGCCACAAAAATCAACATGTTTTACATCAATTTTAGACAAAACCAAAGTGTTAGCTGCTTCTTTTGGTTGCAAACAACGATAATTTACACATATTAACATTTTTCCACTACCATTTGAAAGCCACTCAAGAAAGAAATCATAGATGTGAAAACTAAAATACCGGTCTCAAAACTTTTTCACATCATGTACTATACCATGTGTATATAAATGACCATGATCGGCTGCTGGGGAGGGGAATATTCTTCAAAATTCTTGTTGTTGACAGCAGAGTTAAAAATGAAAAACTCTTCCGATCTGCATGATTCACAAGTAGCATGTTTATCATTTAAAATGGCGTATTTTGCCGAAAGGTGAGAAGTCTGTTTATCAATCAATAATGTGCATGTATGTGATGAAAGACAGCAGAGGGCAATTAGCCAATCAGTTTTTTATTTTTTTTTACTAGGGCCAGTGCACCTATGGGCCTGGATCCATGCTATATAACACCAGATCACAGTCTAAGGCAAAAGTGTGATTATTTAGACCTGCAATTTGCATTTTTTTGCTAAATTTGCTAAACAGGTGGGTAAAAACCTTCAGTGCTGCTTTGTCTCTTCATTACAGTGCAAAACTAAAGAAGCAAACTAAAAATCACCGTTTCTGCAGGTACACTAAATTTACCTTTGAGTTTGTGGTCCAGATACTCCAGCAAAACCCTGATCACTTGGATGATTGACAAGATGAGAGAGCCGAATGCAAGAGTACCTGTGTGAAACCTACACACACACACACACACACACACACACACACACACACACACACACACCATGTGCACAAATACACATATAACACATACATGAAGGCATGAAAAGACATGTATAACTGGATTATGTACAGGACACAAAACAAGTCTGTCAATCAACACACATGAAAAATCGACTTAGCTGCATACCTGAGAGCTCTGCCAAAAGAAGCAAAGACAGGGAAGGCTGGCATATCACGAGGCTTCTCGAAAGCCCAGTAGTACGAGGCAAAGGCTCCCGCAAGGGTCATTTGGCCCAAGGCAGTCACGAAGTTGGCACACCAGAAGAAGAGGAAGACATTGTAGAACTGAAGGAAGATTAGGTACTTGTGGTAGTGCGATTCTCCACCATAGAAAGCAAAAAGGCACTGGGACTCTGGGCAGTCTTTTTTCATGTTAGAATCCGTATAGTTCTGAAACCATCAAAGAACAAGAAAAGTTAAAGACACTGATATTTTTCTACAAGCCCTCAATGGCATGTAGGTGCTAGTAGTGGACAGTATCATGTTATAATTGAAATTTCTGATGGTTTTGGTTTGTCACAGTAATGGAGGCTTACTAACGGATGTTCCTTCACTTTTAATAAGAGCCATTTTCATCCAACAGATTTACTGTGCAAAATAGTAAGAGTATATACAGATAATCTTACGTCAATATTGCTTTCTAACAATGGCCCAGGGGGCCGGCAAAGACTGTGCTAAAAATGTTGCTTCATGTCTTAATTTCTACAAGGCTTTTTGTTCAAATTCAATTCCACATTAACTAAGTGTAACAATTGAGATGAAGTAACAATTACATCCAGGTACCTGAGTGCATCTGCGGCATCATTTAGGGGGGAACGGGAAATTCCGATAAAAAGTCAACTTCAGCTTCATTGATTTTCTCAAATTATTTGTCTCATATATGCATCCCATAAACTCATGCCTCTGATGCTCAGACACTGAATTTGGAATTTGGAAAATATGACAGTCACGTTATCTGCGCTTATTTGTGGCATACCAGTATAACAGTTATGACAAAAGTCTGAGGAAGCACTTCTACCAGTGCACCAGATGAGCCGGCACTTCATCTTTCATCCAGTACTAGTAGGTGCTATTACAGTTCCCAATTCCACAACTTTAGGCAGCATGCTCAGCTGCAGATTTCTTACACTAACTCTTCAGATCCAACAGCTGATTAAGCCATTCATATTTAATGCGCACAACAAAAAACAAAAAAGCACCACTACTTACTTACTTTGCACATTTACAATATGACAAGAATCTTTAAATGAAATTTTGTATGAAATAAGGGAAAATTAGTAGCAGCTATCATAACTTATGTTGGTCTATGAGTCTTGTAACGGTATTCATTACAAATTACTAGAACTGATTATGAATGACTGCTATTAAAATAAAAATCTTTTCCCAACAGAACCTTTCAATTGTGTGTGTCTGTGTAACTGAACACTCACCTCAGGGTAGCAGGTTTTGTTTGAATGATAGCACTCCATGTTGCCTTCATTGAACACTTTGTACACAGGTTCATTAGAAGTGGAGAGGAAGCTGAGGAAGGCTGTCAAGGGCCAACACCACAATTTCTGACCAAAGTCTAACAATCACTGATACCAATTCCTGCCATGCACTAATCCCAGCCCAGCATTTGGAGAGTTACTATGTCCCCGATTTTCTTTATAGCATAAATGCTAAAAGAAAAGCTCAATACTGTTTTCAGCCTGCCATACTGTTACTGTATTGTTCAAAGGAAGTTTGTTAGATGCCATTTTGGAGGGGCGAGGGATCAAATCACTCTAAATATACACTGACCGGCCACTTCATTAAGTACGTCTGCTTGTTTCTATATTCAGCAGTGACACTGAGATGTTTAAAAACTGATCCACTCATACAGCACAACACACACTGACAGTGTCACTGCAGTGCTGAGAATAATCCATCACCCAAACAGTACGTGCTCTGTGGTGGTGCTGTGAGGGTTCTGAATATTGAAGAACAGGCTAAAGGGGGGCTAACTAAGGCCCAATCCCATTTCACCCCTTGCCCCTACCACTTAGCCCTTAGCCCTCCGTTTTGCACATTCATGTCTAGGGTTAGGGTGTCCCAATTTTTGTTGAGATAGAGGGATAGGGCGAAGTGTTAGGGCTACTAGCCATCCAAACGGAGGTTTTTCAGAGGCACACTCTAAACTGAGGGTTATGAGAAAAAAAGAAAGGCAAGATGGCCACGTGAGCGACCAAAGAAACCCACAAATGTGAGTATTTTCTCCATTAAAAAATTACGATAACCATTGTTTTAGTTTAATGCCGTTTCAGTGTATTATGGTCGTTTTCTTCATAACAATCACAAAAGAAAAACAAAAACAATCGCTAATAGCATGCTAATGTCTCAGTAGCTAGCTAGCTAACGCTCCTGTTCCACCTTAAACAGTCCAGAAGTTCTGACGCCTGAAGTGCGAGAATGTGACTGCCGCACCATTTAAGGTGGAACGGGAAAATTCAAGCAAGAAGCTGGCGAATAGCTGACTTCAGCTTCGTATCACCAAAGAATTAGCGGTGGGTGATAATAAATAAGTGTCTTTCTCTTTGAAAGCCCTAAATGTAACTAAAGCCCAGCAGTGAGGCAGCTGAACTTTTCCTTTCTCTGCCATCACTGAAGACGGGCCGGGTTGCCTACAGAGCACCGCTAGTAGCTGTTAATAAAGCAGTGTTTTTTTTGTTTTTTTTAATTTGAGGGTTGTCCCATTTTGTAGGGCAAGATTTCAATCACTACCCCTTGTAACTCAGTTCCAAGGGGTTAGGGTGACACTTGAAAACAAGGGGTAAGGGTAAAAAGAAGAAATGGGAGTGGGCCCAAGTATGCAGAGACTACAAAGAGCACCTATATGGTAAGTGGAGCTGATATAATTAACAAAAAGTGTAGATACACGGAAGTGTGCTTAATGAAGTGGCCAGTCAGTGTACACTTCAGCAACCAAACTTGCCCAAAACTGACTGCGATCTGATGTGATATCTTTTTTTTAAAACTGAAAGCAATGCTGGACATAGCCTAAAAACCTAAAGAAACTTTCAAAATTTACATTCAAACAGGTCTGTATGTAGCCAAGTACTTCATCTATCATACATGACGTTAGTACTTTTCCCTGCTAGCTTGCTAGTGAGCATCTAATGGTAACACAAGCTAGTAACAACAAAAACAAAAAACAAGAACCGTATTTGGCATTCCAAAAACCAAAGTTTACACTTCAGGTATAAAATAGAAAGCAATTATTTACAAAGTTAATATATGTTATGCATGGATTTTGCAACTGCACTGCAACATTTGCATAGCTAGCTAATTAGATTATAAGGCTAGCCTAGCTAAAAGTTAGTAAGTTCCTAACTAAAAAATTTGTATTTTGCTCCTCCCCTGGTCCTCACAAGTGGGCCATGTGTGTCAATGTTGCCATGCATTTAAGGAAGAGCACATTAAAAATGGTCTTAAAATGCTAGGTAGGACTAGCGCAAGTCCCTTGTAACAACTTTGATTAAATTAGATAAAGTCATGTCTTATGAATCCAAAACTGTAATCACAGATTTACAGATTGAACTGAGACATGTTAAAGCGCCAATACATCTTACATCTGAAGTCACGCACCAATATTTCACATAGCTTGAGATCAGAAAAGAAGACTGGAATAACAAGGGACAGAAAGGCCAGAATGACTACATGCAAGGATACACAGCTGTGATGGCCCAGTATGCAATGACAACAGCCAGGAGAGCGAAGGTAAACAGGGGATAAAACAGGGATGACATCACATGACCGATGGCCCTGTAAGAGAGAGGAACACAGCAACAGTTGGCTTTCTTATATACTTGGGTTATTTACTTTACATTAAACTGGTGGTTTTAGCTCTACAAGTCTAAATTGTTTTGATGGTCTATCAGTCTACAGACTTATTACCAAATTAGGTTCATACAAAACAAACTTTTTACCAGTAGGATGAGGGTTACTTGAGGTTTTGGGTTGTAACTTGACAAAAAAATATTGTAATTAGTATAGATGCACATGGACAGGGTTGAAAAAATGAATTGGTTTTATATTCAAATAGCAAATTTCAGAACACAAAATCTGCTATTTTTAATATTATACTTATATTTGATTGTGTCTACATTATCATCAAATTTGGATTAAGTTTTTGGAAGCAACCTAAACCCTTGTGCGCTTTTGACATCAATAGTTAACTGGCAGTCAGGCACACTACGTCCAGCATTCAAACCTCGAGCCAGAAAAGGAGGATATTGTAGTCATCTCGGCCAAAATAACAGGGCTGGACCTTTTTTTGTTTTTTGTTTTTAAATCACAATTTATATCATAGTCACAATATTAGTCAGAAAAATTGCAATTAGACATTTTCCCCAAGCCATCCAGCCCTACACCATGAAACCAGAATCATATGGGTATCGACAGCTTACTTGACTGATGTAGTCAACAGATATTTGCGATGTATTTATTGTACTCCAGAAGAGCAGAATGTTTAGGTGACACTGCGCTACAGTGCTGCAATAACTGCATTTTATTATTTTACTGCATTTGTAACCCTAAAAAAAATGCTTCAAAATTCTTGTATAAGTACGAATCTTTAGAGCTCTTCCATTGCTCTGGATTTGACATTTGTCATTGTTTGTCATGTTGAGTGACGTAAGAGACACCTTGAAATCCAATCTGAGCAACCAGAGAATCCAGACTAAAATTCACATGTAAAAATCTGATGGGAATTGCATTTAAAATCACCTCCAAATGTCAATCTTGATACAATCTGTGTAAGTTATAATTGTATGTAAAATAAATTATTCATAACATGTTTTTTATATTGTTTTTACGTAGTCACTGCTTAGAAGCAGAAACAACTTTATAATGACAACTTTATGATATGCATGACTAAGACAGAATGCCACAACATAAACTGTGAATCTACGTACCTGCTTGCCTCTTTGATGAGAGCAATGGCGATTCTGATCCTGTTTCTGAGGAAGATGAGCAGCAGGATGATCACCAACTCCACTATGGCCAGAATGATTACTGTACAGAAAAACAGAGAAGTGCTCTTACATTTGAAATGCAAATGCTGTGGTGCATTCATACCACAGTGCCCACACCATGTGCATACTGACTGCAGTCTTACAAACAGCTACAAGGGGAGGTTCAGTCTAAGGTTCAGTCCTTGGGCACCTCAGGAAAGTCAACAATTTTATCTGTTCTTGATTCTGTCACATCTGAGCCCAGAGATCGGCAATCTACAGCCTGCGATAGCTTTGAGTAGGTGTGTTTGGACATGAGCTAGCAAAAAGTACTGGCTGGCTATGAGTTCCTCAGGAGTGGACTGAAGTTTCTGCTCTGAGATACTCACTGAAGGCCAGCCAGGTCTGTCTGATGTGAAGGTACACGTTCAAGTCCATCTGGAAGCCCAGTTCCCTGAGGGTGATGTTTGCACCAGGTGAGTTCTTCAGATGAACATACTCCACACTGCAGTGGATGATACCTGCACACAACGTGCCATAAGAGAGACTGAAATTAAATTAACTGTGCAGCAGTGTACACAAAGTACTACATGTACAAGATAAAAAGGACACCAGGGTTACTATCATTAACACTTAAATTAGTTTACAAATAACACTGTTAGACTAACGTTTTTAACGTTTAATATTTTTCCCAAGTTTGGCAGGTGTGGTTTAAAGTCAACTCGATTCACAATTTCAACTTCCCATATCCACCCCAGCCTGTTCACCTTTGCAAAGTAGTTAAAAGCACCATCCTCCCTTGTGGAACCAGCCAGACAGAGTGAGGAGGGGGAACGAGAGGAATAAAAACCATTTTGTGTTGCTGTCGATTTGCAGTCTCTTGAAATGACTGACACTGCGCATTTGTCATCCTCACTTGATATGCGGGGAAATTAACTTAGGGATATGATTGGTCAAATTCTTATTCTTCTTTTATTTTTTAGAAGGGTAGAAGCTGCTGCCACATGCTGTAAGATTGGAGCAGTTTGAACATGCGCACCATTGAACTCACAAGCATCACCAGCTTTTTGTGCTAGAAGTGGCTTTGAGTAAAGTTCACAACGTCTCTGAACAAACCACACTGCTGTGCTATTTTGGCACTGCTGAATTTGCAAAACTCATCAGAATGTACTGTGCTTTCAATTTGCCTCTGACACAAAGGGTTCTTGTTGCTCTTTATATGTAATATAGAGCAAAATGTATGCAGAGGTCCTGTAAAATGTATTCTTGTAATCCTGAGGAGGGCTGTACCGTATCCGATGACGAGGACAACCATGATAATCATGACCCAGACCATAATACCAGCCAGGAACCTCAGCAGCACGATGAAGATCAGACTCAGGACAGTTGCTATTACCAGACCGCTGAAAAAACACAACCAAGACTAAATCTGTCACAGCTCGACAAACACACAAGCAACACACATAATACCAAAGATCAACGTAGAATAATTACATATTAAACATTACCAAAGATGGACATAACCTGATAACAGAACACCGCAGGCTTTACTTACATGACAATCCAATACCATGACTGTGTGTAATCCTCAAAGATCTTCATGACCACCAGACGAGTCTCAATTACTATTGTGGCATTCCTGCGAACATTAAAAACACCCAAAAAGTGTGTTTAGAACTGTTCAAGGAGCGACAACCAGACACAACACACTACCTTCCAGGGCTGCACAATATGGATACTGCATACTGTAATTATATTCACACGTGTTGTAATTGTGATTGTGATTAAAGGCACAAAAATGAAAAATATGCAAAATCTGAATTAACTGGAAACTAAACTTTTTTCTATTATTCCAACCCCTTATGAGGCCAGATCGCAATGCTATTATTACTATGTTTAAGTTTAATGATACAAGTGGATATCTACAGCAATATAATAAAATATGTTCAGGCTGTATATTGCTTAATGTTATATTTTACAAGATATATTACATATACTTTCAAATAACATATTTTATCATGTATAATGAATGATACATACATATAATGAACTACAGAAAAAGAATGTTTTTCTTTCCCTTCTGCTTTTTATTTTTATATACTGAAAAAAAATCTAAACCTGGTCTCGGTCTTGACCTTGCCCTGGACTCATTTCTAATGATCCTGACAACCTTAGTCTGAATAAACTGCACATATATGCACTCAACATGTAAGGCCTGTAGTTATCCTTCACTGTGTGTGTGTGTGTGTGTGTGTGTGTGTGTGTGTGTGTGTGTGTGTGTGTGTGCGCGCTCACCTTACTGCAGGCAAGAGATCACTGGCCTTTCTGTTGTTGCTTACTCCATCATCAAACGTGGTCTGATTTCCTACAGTGATCTCACCCCCCTTCAGGCCCAGAGCTGGGAAACACCTACGTGTGACTGTGAGAGACAGACAGAATAAGAATGAAGTTTATGCCTATGGACTGTTATATGTACAAAGTCAAAATACATTGTGTGTGTAAATGGTGGATATAAAGTAGATATTTTGCACTGGAAGTATTTTAAATAACAAAAACAAATGTCTGAAGACTTCCATTCTTTCACTATATGTAATACACACTAGTGTTCAAATGTCAGAATTACTATTCAAAAGTTTGGAACTACTATTTTCAATACTATAAAACAATGTATTGCAGATACATGTATAAATTGTGTCTTATGATGCTATTATTTAATAGGTTTCAGATAACTTAAGATTGAAAAAAAGGAACATTTCAAGAGCGACCAGCTCAGTAAAGGACTTCATCTAATTACGAAAGCTGTGTAGCATCAAGAATGAAGTTAAATAAAAATGAACATCCAAAATGCCTCAGATTCATAAAGCAGTGACCAAATCTCACAGATCAAACTGCTATTTACAGTAATTTTATGTCAAGAAATTACTACACCCGGGCCGCCGCGGGTCTGTTATCCTGTCCGAGAACACTGAGAAGGTACTGCACCAGGCCTGACTGGACTTAACGACAACGGACGGGTAAGTAGTATAAACAGCAGACAGGTGTTTATGATAGACAATGCCTCCTTAATTTCTACCACTCCCCTCCGTCTCTGCTGTCTTAATACTAAAGCTTCTGCTAGCTGTGTAGGAAGAATTTGCTCCAATAACATAAATTAGAGTCATCAAACCCTGTGTAATTAAAATCTAAGACAAACGTGCACGGTCAAAATCCAAATAATTTTATTTGCAGAGACCTTAAAAAGACCAGCCCCCAAAAATATGTAGTGTAGTAAGCAGGAAATTAAACCTCGCACTACTCAATGTATGGTCACTAAATAACAAACACTGCTGATTTGAGATCTTATTAAAGAGCATAAGCTAGATTTTATGTTTGTCAGAAACGTGGCTTAGTGATAATGGCACAGCAACTCTACTTGAAGCTGCTCCTGAAAACTACAGATTTATGCATACAGTAAGACAGAGCAGACGGGGAGGAGGAGTGGCCTGCATTTACAATAGTGACTTTAACTGCAAAACTACTACTATCAGTGAATGTGTCTTTTGAGTGTTGCAATAAAATTTAAGTGATAAATCTGTGTTAATAATTGTAATATAAAGACCTTCAAAGCAAAATAGTAACTTGTTGTCAGAAATTGCGGAATTATTATCAGTTGAGTCCACAAACTATGATAAGATTATTCTCTTTGGGGACTTAAATTTACACACTGATAATCCATCAGATAGTAATGCTATAGAATTCATTAGACTTCTAGAGATATTTGATTTGAAGCAGCACATGGGCAGCGCTACACACAATCTAGGTCACATCCTGGATCCGGTCATTGTGGGGTTTAACCACAAATGTGTCCCAAATCTCTGATATTTTCATATCAAATCATTTCTGTATTTTCTTTCAAATCAATTTAGGAGAAGAAAGTACCTGAAACTTACTTTAAAAAAACTTTACACTGACTCAGAAACAGTTTAGAAGTTTAAAAGCATTTATAATAGTTCAGGGAATACAGATCTGACTCCATCCTGTAATGATCTGGTCTCTGATCTAAGCGCCAGATTACGGGAAACCCTTGACATTCTCGCTCCACTAAAATGGACGAAAAACTCGCATACTCAAAAATCCACGGATGAATGCAGAAATACGCCAGCTTAAGAGAAATTGTTGTAAGTCAGAACACTTATGGAGGAAAACTAAACTGCAGGTACATTATGACATTCTCAAAGATCAGATCTCAGTCTATAATAAGGCTATGAAGATATCCAGACAGTCATACCTCTCCAGTGTAATTAATAGATAAAAGATAATACACAAATCCTTTTTTCCACCACAGACCAACTAATTAACCCCAGCTTTTCTGATAGTGCATCTTATGGCAATTTATCTTCTAAAATCTGCGAAGAGTTCGCAATTCATTTTCAAAATAAAACAGACCTGCTAGGACAGGGTGTAGCTCAGCAGACTGAAACAAGCTCCTATAATGTTCCTAATAAGCCACCAACATCAGTGATTTTTCTCTTATCAATTATTAGGAGCTTACAACTGTTGTAAACAAACTAAGTTTGTCCACATGTGATCTTGACCCTGTTCCTACTTCATTCCTTAAGATGGTTTTTGATTGTGTTCACAATGATGTTTTAACTACTGTAAATTTGTTCTCTGTCAACAGGTGCTTTTCCTCTGCTTAAGAAAAAAGAAAACTTTTTAAAAAGTAGCACGAATCTTTCTGTATTAAATAATTTCAGACCAATTTCGAACCTACCTTTTCTAAGTACAGTTGTAGAAAAAAAAAAAAAGTTTGCAAACAACTAAATGCATATTTAATATTAAACAATTTATGTGAGAAGTTTCAGTCAGGTTTTCATTCTAACCATAGTACAGAGACAGCAATGATTCACATTATGAATGACCTCAGGCTCAGCGCTGATGCACAAAATCCTATTCTGGTTTTATTAGATCTTAGTGCAGCTTTTGACACCGCTGACCACAAGATTATAATCCAGTGTCTTGAATGCTGGGTCGGCCACTCAGGGCACAGTTTTAAAATGGTTTAAATCATATTTAAGTAATAGGCAGTTCAGGGTTTCACTTGGAAATTATTCATCACAAAGATTTGACATTTCTTGTGGAGTCCCTCAAGGTTCAGTCTTTGCTTTTCTCTTTGTACATGCTACCTCTAGGTGATGTCATTAGGAAGCATAATAGAAATTTTCATAGCTATGCTGATGACACACAATTACACATTAACATTCCTTCTGATGATTAAGACTCTGTAGACAGACTAACCAGCTGTGTGTCAGATATTTCTCAGTGGATGTTGCACAATTTTCTTCAATTAAATCACGAAAAAACAGAAATACTCATCATTGGTACAGAAACTCAAAGAAAGCTGCTTTATGAGAAACTTCGTTCTTTAGCTTCAAATACAAAACCTAATGTACAAAACTTGGGATCTTAGACTCTGAGCTCTGTTTTACCCCGCATGTAAACGCGGGCACTAAAGTAGCTTTTTATCATTTGAGAAATATCACTAAAGTTCAGCCTTTTCTATCTCAAAGCGGTGCACAGAAACTTGTTCATGCATTTGTTACAAGCAGAGTTGATTAATGCTCTTCTTACTGGACTTCTCAAGAAAACTACACATCCCTTACAACTCGTACAAAATGCAGCAGAATCCTAACAAAAAAACAACACAGAGAGATCACATCACTCCTGTTTTAAAAGAGCTGCATTAGCTGTCTGTAACATTCAGGATAGATTTTAAGGTTCTGCTACTAGTTTTTAAAGCTCTAAATGACCATAAAGCACCTGCTTACATCACAGAGTGTCTGTGTTTATGTTCCAGCACGTAACCCAAGATCTGCAGACAGTGACCTTCTATAAATACCTTCAGTAAAATACAGAAAACGTGGGGAGACTATTTGTTATTATGCTTCTAAACTGTGGAACTCAAATTCCACCTTTTATTAGACAGTCAAGCTCAGAGCTCACTTTTAAGAAGCATCTAAAACGTCTCTCCTTAACTTGGCAATTAATTAAAACTCTACATCTTGTGGTATTTGTCTTTTAATTTAATCCGTGTCATTTTCTTCTGATTCTAAATTTATATATTATAATTATACTTTCTTGTATAACTACGTTTTATCACCTGTCTGCAAAGCACTTTGAGCTGCCACCGGCATGAAAAGTGCTATATAAATAAAAATTATTATTATTATTATTATTATTATTATTATTACTACTAGAAGCAGATACTTAATGTTTATTATTTAAATCATGTTTTCTTTTTTTATCCATGTCATAGCTTTCCATTGCTCACAAAATACTTAACATTGTGGTACAAGTTATTTTTTAATTACTATACGACAAGTGATTCCAAACTTATGAACAGTAGTGTAATAATGAAAAGGAAGTATATAAATCCATTAAAGAAAAAGGCAGCTTACATGGTTTGCTAGCGATGAGCACTGCAGGACAAAGTTGGTTTTTCAGGATTACCTGGGCCGTCTATGAAGTAACATGAAAAACATGCAGTACAAGACAAAATGGCAAAACTTGGAATAAATAAAAAAAAACAACAAAAAAAAAAAAACACAAACTATAATGCACATAGATAAACTTTTAACATTCCATCTTCCACTTACCATGTCGTGGGTCACACCCTCTTTACAGAACGTCTTGTAGTAACTGAAGTCCTCAGATTTCATTACGGCATTTAATAGACTCATGGAGCGATCAGGGCACTGCTCCACACATAGCTAACCGAGAGAGAGAGAGAGAGAGAGAGAGAGAGAGAGAGAGAGAGAGAGAGAGAGAGAGAACGAGAGAGAGAGAACGAGAGAGAGAGAAAGAGAACGAGAGAGAGAGAGAGAGAGAAAGAGAACGAGAGAGAGAGAGAGAGAGAGAGAGAGAGAGAGAACGAGTTTTTATGCGAATTCTGATTCTTTTAGCCTTTTTACTCTGAAAGCAACAAGCAAAAAAGTAACATTGTCCGTTTTCTGAAAACCTGAACACTTTGTGGCCTAAGTAAACACAATTTTCAAAACACACAGGCTCTCCACACACTTTTGGCAAGATATCCCAAATAGAGGTCTGCACAAGGTGGGTTCACCCACAGGTCTGCAAAATTCTTTGTGGACAGGACGAATACATTTTCAAAGGCAGTGGCCATACTAGGGAAACAGCCAACAGGTTGTCGCTTGGTATTATGGCTTGTTGATGGGGGTTGGGATGCAAGCTTAGACAATTACTGGCTGGTTGTGGAAGCGGACGGGTGTGCAACAAATTTTACACACATATATATGGTCGAAACAGTCTATGCAGACCTCCAATTGCATGAGCATTCAAATGCAGCATTTGTATTTTTTATCTTTTATTATTTATCTTTTATCTTTTATTTTTTAAGACTGCAGTGCTATACTTTTATACTTGATGATCTAGAGCAACCAGCCTCTACCACCTGGCCTGAAAGAATCAGAAGGGAAACCAAAAGACATGATGTCTGTCAAAAAAAGGGATCCTAGAAATTAATAAATACTGTTGTGCTATTATACAAAAAGATTTATAGGAAAGTAACAAAGTTAGGGACTTTTTTTTCAAAAGACAGAAAACCTCAGAATGTACAACCATCAACACAATATTGCTATTACATTAGCATATCTGTATTATTGTGTACATTTAATACCATAACACTGTAAACTGTGATAAAAGGTAATGGTTAGTATTGTATATTTTTTATATTGTTTTAAATGAGCTTACATTATTTACTTAAAAAAAAAAACTCAACATAAATATGCCAAAACAAAGGTAAATTGTCCATTTGCTGATTGTATGTAGAAGCTGATTCTAACTGTGCATCCCTATTAACAAATGAAGGATAATAGGTTATGTACTTTATTGATCCAACAATCTGACCTGTCAGTCAGCTACCTGCCACCCTGGGCTGAGGAAGGTGAACAATGAAAAAGACAGACAGAAAGACAGAAAGAGGACTGAATGGGCACATACCTGTGTGGTAGGACACTGAAACTGCACGAGGACTATCGGATTGGCACATTTCAGGATGTTGAAGTAGAACAGGAAGGGTTTCTTTCTAATTGAATAAATAAATAAATAAAAAACAGATGTCATTCCCATAGACAGACACAAGTATATGTCCACAGGGTTATAAGTAAAAACCAAGAGCAGAGAGACCCACTGTGACACCACCACATAAGGGGACCTGTGGAATACCTATTTTTAATGATTAACACCAACATAGATTTCAGGTAGTGTTATTTATGTTACCCCACAGAAAATAAAGTCCTTAATTTCCTTTATGACTTCTCACTGGGATGTTCTGATAGGAGTTGTGGCCTGATCCTATTTCTGGTATTTTTATTATGTTCTGTTTTCCATATTTTTTGTTTTGAAAATGTTTCCTGTGCATTCCAACGGGGGACTCTTTATTTTGACTATAAACCCTGGTTTGGGAACAGGAAAGGAAAGTGTGGCAGCCATTTTCATGGAGGATCAAGTTTGGGGAAGACAGGCCTGGTGGATCATTGCTGTTCAAGCCCTAACAAACTTTTACTCCTTTTTTCTACTCATCTTTGTCCTTGAAGATTGGATCCCCTCTAACCATGGAGATACCTCAAGGAACTGGGCTCATTCCTGTTTTTTTTTTTTTGCATTGCTGGGCCCCATTTTGATTTTTGAGTATTCTGGGACATTGTTTGCTTGGATTATGGTGGCGGTTTGACATTTTTTGGACTTTTTGGATTCAATAAAGACAATCTCTGGACTTTAATAACTTTATCCCACCTAATGGACTTCTGCAGCAGATCTTATATTCTACTGCTTTTCTGCTTTGTTTTTTTTTTTTAGCTTTGTTGCTGATGCTGTTAGTGTGTTGTCTGTTCTGGGGAATATTAAGTGAAATCTAACCTGTGCAAGCTCTGTGGTATTCTGGTGCTCACATGGTTTTTTTCTCACCAAATTAGTGTTCGAATTTTATTAGTAACTACTGAGTTTGGTCAGATTGTTACACCATTACAGCCACATGGATGTACAGATGGATAAATGAATGTCGTGAGTCGGGCAGACAATTTAAATTTTCTTTATGATACTAGGATCATGATTCATAATTGAAATGAAGAAAAATAATACTGATCATGCAGGTGAGGGTTAGTATGACACAGCACATATTGGCTGGACGATAATATTGGCCGGACGATAATATTGGCCAATATTGACAATCTGTGGATTTATTTGTCTCGTCTGGAATAGACTAGAATAGAATTGTTGATTTTTTTTTTTAAATGGCATTGCCAGAATTCAAACTCACAACTCACTCGTTCATTAACAGAACACAAGCTTAGACAGACATGCCTCTCCAGAACCCCCACCAGTTTACTTATAGTACAACAAGAATGAACTGGTAAATCTGAATACAAAACACACAATCATGCATAACAAAATGTAAAATGCATTCACACTTAATCTTACAACTTAATGTGTTATACTCAAGTTATTACTTGAATCTCTATGTAGAGAAGTGACAAAAAAATAGAATAAATATGCACAATTCTACATGTATCGTTTATTTCAGTTGTAGAAGTGTAACAACTGAAAGCAAATAAATCGTATCAGTGAATGAAAAAATACTGGTGAAATGTAAAACTATAAATCGAAACCAAAAAAATTGCTGATTTTATATTATCAGATTTTTGGTTTGGGTTAAGTTGACCTTTGGTGCATTAGCTGGCATAATTAATGGAATGCAGATCCACAACGTGGATCACATTTCTGCATCATAACACACTGTGTCATAATGTATTGTAAGAGGGACGACCAAGGAAAATGGGGAACAGTGTACCCCAGTTTTATCAATGAGATATAAACTACAGGCATTACATCACTATTGTAAATGCCCACCGCCTTCCTGAGCTGACACGGGCCTGTCATCTACAGCCCTGTTTCCAAAAAGTTGGAACGCTGTGCAAAATGTAAATAAAAACAGAATGTAATTTTTTTTTATTCATATTTTTAAATATACGCCCATTTTGAATTTGATGCCACCAACGTGTTTCAAAAAAGTTGGGACAGGGGCCTGTTTACCACTGTGTCACATCACCTCTTCTTTTAACAACAGTAAGCATTTCGCTAATTTCTGTTGTTTTGAAAGTGAAAGGTTTTCCTATTTTTGCTTGATATAGGGTTTCAGCTACCCATCAGTTCAGGATTTCCTTTGTCAGATTTTTTGTTTCATAATGCACCAAATGTTTTCAACAGGTGACAGGTCTGGACTGCAGGCAGCAAATGTAGCTCTCCAACAAATGAAGCTAAATAAATATGCCTACATATGTACAAATCTTGTTGACCTTTTTTCCTTCAACTGACCATGATTACTTGTAAAAGGGATTATTTTACATACAGGTTTGAAAGTTATAGCAAAAATCAACCACAGAATTATACAGGTTGAAACAAGTAGTGTCACAACTCTCCCTGGCCTCCACCACCTCTACTCGCATGTACTAATCTATGCTTTCCATTTGATGCCCAGGTTGTAAGCACACTGTTATTGAGGTCAGGATTAAATGTTTAGATAATCTGGTGTATTCACTTACTCCAGAGAAGTTCCAACTTGCCCACAGAACTCCCCTCTGCTGTTTGTGGGATAGATCACCTTCCTGGGGTCACCCTGAGACCATGCTGGAGAAGAGCAAAGAGAAACATGAGCAGTGATTAGGGCTGGGTATCGAAATTCGATACCAAAAAGGCACCAACCGGAACTTCTCAGCACTACGGAGTATAGAAAAGCCTCAAAAACGTTGTTGCCTATTTTCGGTACTTTGCATAAAACGCAAATCACGAGGGATTAGGGGAGTAACCTTACGACTAAATGCAAAAAAAGGCATCTGGCTCCCTGACACACAGAAACAGGCTCTACTTTGAAAAGGTTACCAAGAACAGTTCCAGGTGCAACAAGTGCCTTAAGATAGCGGCTTCCAAAACGGGTAATCAAATCTGACGAAACGTTTGATTACGCTTGGAATTAATCTCCATCAAGAAAACTGCAGAATTTTAGACTGCATGAAGAACAGCACTGCGTCTGGGCTAAATAGGTTATTTTACAACCACACGCAGACACCGGTGTTCCAGTGATAAAATATCAAGCAAGTTAACAGTTCACTGTGCACCTTTCTCGTTTTGCCAGTGAAAACTAACGCTCGTTACTCTGTTTCTCAGCGTTAAAAGCCAGTTAGGATTCAGCTAATATTAGCATAAAACTAACACATATTAGCTAGCTAGCTGGCTACAATTCACCCGCCTTATGAACTTAACTGTAACACTGATATAATTCATGTTTCATAGGTTTCATAAATGAGCCCTATTAACTTGCATGGTGTTTTCATGTTGGACGTGAGGGCTTTGACAGTGCAAGGGTCAGTTCTACTCGCGCTAATGCGGTTCCCCAAGGAGAAACAAACCCTTTCACTGTAGCAGAAAAGCTAAGGATTTCAGTTGAGAGGAGGGAAGAATGCCACACAGCAATAACAAGTTTAATTGTTGAAGGATTGCAGCCCTTTCCGACTGTTGAATGTCCCTGGTTTAGGTGGGATACGCAGGATAGATCATTTATTTTATTCCCCTATGGCAGACCTATAACAGCGGTTAGAATAATGTGTTTGTGCTTTGTGAATACGTTTTTCTGTGTTTTTATTTACTCAGAGAGATGACAAAAGCATTAAATATCAGCCCCCATCCAGAGATATGCCATCAAACACACTAATATCTGCCTGGTATGCAGTAGAAAAAGAAAATCATAATATTTATTACTTATTTATTTTTTGTATTTTTATCACAATTAGAAAAAAGGTATTGAATAAAGTATCGTTATGGTATCAATATTGAATTAAAAGTATTGTATCGGTATCGAACATTTTCAAACGATACCCCAGCCCTAGCAGCGACTAAACCATGCGGTCTCAAAATCACAAATCACAAACGCAAATCTCATACTAGCACTACAGTCTTTCACAATCACACACACCCCCATCCCGTTATCTGGAAGAATACAGCCAAGGAACCTCATTCTTTGGACTGAAGGCCTTCCACATTAGATTACTACAAGGCATAATAAGAAAGTGACAGGATTCAACCAATCATGTTTTAAATTAACAATGGGTGGGGCCAATTTTGTGGGGGGGAAAACACAACCACACACACACACACACACACACACACCCCCCTTCACTCTGGACTTTCTAGACGCCCTTGATACATCACTGAGTGCGTTTATCTGCACTTAATAATCCGGTAACTGCAGAAAATCAGATTTTGTCAGTAAACTGATCAACACGTTTACATGCACTTGAGTAATCAGATAACATTAAACTCCAGTTCTGACAATAATCAGATTTCTGCTTTGCAACCAGCCAATAAACCCATAGAAGATGACATGACAAAAACGTAATGCAAAACTCAAACTTGAATATTAACATACATCATCTAGAAGAGGAAGAATATTTTAATCCTTTATTTCGTGTTCGGATTTAGGATCGCTCCAAAAGTGTTTTGCTACCATCTCACGGCAACACTGCTCACTTATTTCTGATACCGTCGTCTGTTTTCTTGCACATGCTGAGAAATCCGGAAGAAATCAGAGTAAGAGTGCACATTTCTTAGTGCATGTGCAAGAACATCTGATTACTGAGCTAAAATCCAGCTCTCTATCACATTTCTTGATCGGATTTCTAGATCGTAGTAGGGTGTTTACATGACCATTTGAATAATCAGATAACTGCAGAAATCTGATTATGATCAGATTATCGAGTGCATGTAAACGCACTGACTGACTGGGAAAACAAGCATAAAATACTAAACGTAATTTACACAAATCACTTTTGCATAGCTTGAGACCAAAGAGTAAAGTGTTGTGAACTTTGCAAACTTCTTAAAAATTAAAAATTGCTTGGTGTGGGTGACTAGCTAGCATTTAGGTTAATCAAGAAAGGTTCATTTTGTATAGTAGGGCACTGCTTTGTCTAAGCAGTTGCCTATATTTAGAAAAGGAAGCCCAGCTGCTTCTGTTATTAAACTGGTGTTCTGATGAAGCACAATATAAATTCACTGTATGTGTCAGTAATGCACATCACAAATTAGACCACTGGGTGTAAATGCATTCTGCACACAGTCTGAAGACATTGATATGGGAGGAATGTAGGAAATGGATGCTGAGGGCCTACACCACACACTGACTTCTACTGCTGTCTGTACTAAGCCCAGTTATCCTCCTACCATCAAAAGCTAAACATGTTTGCCTCCACAGAGAGCAGATCATGAGAACCATTTCTGCAATCTCGATTCTGAAACTGCTCAGACCACAGTCAGTGGTCACTGTGATTGTGGCTTGTGTTTGAGGGCATGTGACACAGGTCGAAACTCATATATATATATATATATATATATATATATATATATATATATATATATATATATATATATATATATATATATATATATATATATACACACACACACACACACACACACACACACACACACACACACACGCATACACATTTAGACACCCTCAGTCATATTACATGCTTTGTTGATTTGCTGATACAAAGTAAGTTAAAACATCCTCTACAGGGAACTACTTTTTCTTTCTATTTATGTGCTGACATTAACATATTGGAACATTTAGATGTGGCATAACCTTTGCACACATTTTCTATTTCTCAATACGTCAAATTGAGTCAAATAAACAGTAACTGTGAATGAACTGAACAGAAGTGTGTTGTCTGTAGGATGTGTTAACTTATTTTGACTTAAAAAAGATATAGAAAAGATATGCATACAACTGAAGACCACACATCCTCTCAAAAAACCTCTCAAAAAAAAAAGCAAGCAACATTCCATTGCCTATGATGTGATAAGATATGAAGGGTTTGAGTCAACTCACCAAGTATTCCCACAGCAACATAGCCAACTATGGCTATGATGAAAAGGATACAGCAAATAATGTCTGTGCAGCCTCTGCAAGAGAGAAGGACACAGTACTGAAATCAACTGCAAGACACAGAAGGAGCAAAACACAACACATGCCTAACCAGCATTACTTGCAGTCTGACCAAACAACCTTTGTTTACCTGTTTTGAATGGGTCCTTTGAAGTCGGGGTCATATTTTCTGGGCTCACCTGTGCAAGCAAAAGAGAAAGACAGTGAGGGAAAGACACTGCACAGGAGGCACTATTTAAAAAGGGTAGGGCTGTCATTAGATAGTAAGAGTAATGAGGTAATCCACTGATTATTTTACATATTGATTAATCTAATAATCTGTTTTTAAAAAGGTTGAACAACAAAAAGGATAAACCAGGACACCTTTACACACCAAAGTATTTATACTAGCATTTTATTAACAATTATTAATAAATCAACATGTTTATGTATTTTTTATTCATCAAATATAAAGTAACAGTTCATCAGCATTTGTAGAAAAATGACATTTCCTGCATTAATTCTAACTGATAGGTGATGATAATTTTATTGTACTCTAGTACACATAAATGATGCTGTGCTACTACGCTAAAATACCTGCATTTTATACATTTTATTGTAATTGGAACACTGTACAAATAAATGTCATAGCTCTGTAATGTTAATACAGCTGTATTTAATCCCTATTCCTAGATCTTACATATGTGTATTATGACCATTCAATAAATCATATTTATATCATTGTGATAAACTTGTCATTTAAGGCTGCGATGACAACCGATCAAATTACCTCACACATGCAGTGCCAAAGTGATTTAATCAGACTGCCACACAGTGTTAGAAGCCCAACAACTCCCTCCCTCCTGGAGCTGTACAATGAATCGTTTTTATATTGAAACCATGCAATTTTCTAATCGCAAGACCATCAATTTTAATATCATCTTACTTCGTTCAACATTTTAAGTGGGGAAATTTCACCTGACAGCACAGAGTTTGTGAAGTGGCAGCTATTCTAATTTTTAAAAATAAACTCACATTTGCAGCTCCCGTCAAATCGAAATATTTCGCTCCACACTGATTTAGTATACGATCAAACACAACCCGCTCACAGTATTTTATTTGCAAATTATGGCAGTTTGGTGATTCTCTACACCGAGCAGAAAAGGGTGAATGCTGCTTTAAAAGGTGGAGTGGAATGGATCTGGAGCGCACCTTAAGGGGAGATTACAATGAGGGCGTTCAGAGTCAGCTTTCACAGTCTGAGCTGCACAGACACGCCTAGCAACTGAATTTGCAGCCAAGTGAAAAGTCACGCCTCCGCAACGAGATCAGGTTCCAACTACAACCACAAAGTCGTCTCCCACACAAACATGAATAACACTTCTAAACCAAAGGCCCAGCATGCTTATCTGTCTGAGGCACAGAGCTGGGACGCTAATTTGCATAGGAGGTACAAAAATGTTTTTTGTTATAAGCGTTTGGAATATTCTCAGAATATGAAGGCTGATCTGGGAACAGTCCATGCCTTTCACATAACACTGAATAGAAGTACATGACCTGATGAGGCCTGAACTGAGATCAGCAGGTGTTCTTTTCAATTTCACAAGCAGTAAATTGTCAACATCATAAAATCTTATAACTCAATTTCTTTCATCTCCTTTTTTGAAAATTTATTTATTTGTTTGTTTTTAAACCATTTGAAAATGGTACTGAACCTCTACACTATGACCAGAACATGACCAGAAAATAACCAATACAACCATCATTCAGAATAAAATCTCTTCACAATAACTTACATAAAAGGCTAAAAACATTTTTTTTTTTCTGTACAAAGTTCATATTTTGAAGACAATGTCTTATTACAACAGTAGCTGCATTTCCATCCAAAGGATTTTTTTTAGTTTTTACAAAAAAGTGTTTTACCACATCAGAAAGCTCGATGTATGCTGAAACGAAAACTGTCTGTAATATTCCCTAAAGAGGAGATTCTAAAAATAAACGTATATTTGCAGCTCCCATCAAACCTAAATATTTCGCTCCACACCAATTTAGTACACGATCAAAACACAACCAGCTTGCAGAACTTTATTTGCAAATTATGGCAGTTTTATGATTCTCTACAACGAGCAGAAAAGGGTGAACGCTGCTTTAAGAGTGGACTGGATCTGGAGTGTGCCTTAGCCTGGAGCATCCCTTTTTCTTCAACTCAAGCCTTGTTGTTTGACAATACTTGAAATGTTGCAAAACCTATAACGGAAACCAACCCCTCCACGATACAACATACATTGACGGATACATTCAGAGACTGGACCAGAAAACTGGAGAAGAAGAAAAAAAAATAAAAAATCCCATGTTGGTGCAGTGAGCAAGCCAGCTAACTCACTAACCATAACTAGTTACAGCAGCCATCTACACAGGAAGTTTATGGAAACATGGCTACTAAAGACACACTACATAATGCCGTTATGAAGTCACCCTTTATGTTACTTCAAGCCGTCTCCCGGTCCATTAAACCCTCCCAGCTCTCTTTAATCTCCCAAAAAACCTGCTGCTTGAATGGCACACGTTTGCTACAAGCTCTATACTTCCTGAACACTATAAAAAACGCTGAGGATGTTCATAGTACTGTGCACATTGTCTGTAAAGAATGGGTGCTCAGTTCTGGTCCAGATGATCCAGATAATCTAGATAATCTGATGGTCTGAACTTTTAAGGGTGGTAGGTTGCCAAAACTATGACTGGGCACCCCTGCTGTAGAGTATATATGTATAGTATATTCTGCCAAAACAAAGACCAAAATTCATGCACCACATTGACTAACAGCTTAGCTCAGAGCCCACAGAGTCCACAAACAGCACGTGACTGCTGAAAAGCTCCTAACAATAATAAAAAGAGGATGCAGATCATTGCACTCAACAGCACAGAAAAGATCAGATAAAGCACACGTCTCGATAAATACATGGAAAATAAGCAAATAACATTCAAAATTTTTGCTCTGTGAGTATTGCCTTCTTTCTGCCAGCATTCCATAGATCCACTTATCAGTACTTAGGTACTAAAATACTTTATTTATTTACAGCAACAAACATAGATACAGCTTGGTAAGACCAATAGGAGCTGATGATTACAGACATTACAAAAATAAGAGAGGGTAGTAAGTATTTATAGGCCCTGAGAGCAACAGAAAACACAATACATACCAAAAATTCAGGATTTTAGTCCAGAATACAATTACAATGCAGCGCCATCAGACATAACAAGCCTGCCATTAGAAAAAATGGTAGAAAAATTGCAGGTATTATTCAGTAGCTTTTCCTGTTTTACTGTAAACCCTGAGCCAATGTGCTAGAAAGAAACTGAAATGTTTATCTACTCTTGGAACAGTGCCTTATAAGCTAATGGCTTTTGCAATCTATGTAGAACACTACATGTAAGGCTGTTTAAGTTTAAGAGCACACAGAAGCCTGCAGTACTCTCAGTATGATGCCACATGCTATTAATACTGCAAAAACACTTTTCCAAAAAGGTTTGATATAGAAAATCAAGACTCTAAAGAACCCTTGAAGAGTGAAGTTAACAAAAAAAAAAACAAAAAAAAAAGTGAAAGTGTACTTAGATGCATTTGTACTGTTCTTCTTTTGAATAAATTAGAACTATCAATCATTTCTCTGCGTTTTAAAAGTAAGATAAACCTCAAGCAGCCATTTTTGTTGCTGCATTTTGGTTCAGCTTTAACAAGAGTGGTATGGATTCTGGAGGACAGGCTAATTGTACTTCTATCCTAAACAGACTTGCATGCATTATTAATAGCACATGGCATCTGGCTGACAGTGCTGCAGGCCTGTGTGTGCTCTCCACAGCCTTTTTACAGCACAGTACGGACAGTTGCAGCAAAAAGGTAGTCTGGTGTTACAAGCAAGCAAGCAAGCAAGCAAGCAAGCAAGCATGTAACGTTAGTGAAATAAAACTCTAATGTAAACTCCACTACCCAGTAGTCCAGCGTCTACGGTAATATCGAAATTAAGAGCAAATCTGGATTCAAAACACTTGGTCATAATCTAACACAGCTTCTTCAGTCAGGTCATTCTCTGTACTACCGACAGGGGGAAAACAGGTTTGCACGTAAACCACTACACGGTCACTTGCTCACCGACAGAGGTGACCAACAGGTTTTTCACAAAGCTTTTCAGAAAGTTTGTCCAAGTGCTGCGCTCGATGGAGGATCCACAACACACTTTAACGCGAACCGTCATCAAAACCCGACATTTAGACTCAGTCTGGATAGTAAACAGAGACTATATGCGACAAACAAATCCATCCTGACATTCAGCTTGGATTCAGTTTCGTTTCTTAGCCAAACTCCGTCTGAGCGGTTAAAACATCGTTCAAACGACTCTCAGCACGATATGGCGATTAAAAAAAAAACGTTACCATGCTTTCCGTAATGGTTCTCCTCTTCTACCATCCTGTCTTTTACTTATTTCCCCACAGTGGGATCTCCGCGCTTCAGCCGTTCAGCCCCGCTTTCTCTATCTCCGTCAGGCAGTTTCGTTTTCGCCTGCGGCCAAACTTCAGCACCAACCTTAAACCTCTCCGCCCACTACAGACTCCTCTCCCCTCACACTTTACCCCCTTTTTCTTCTGCTTCGACCCCACCGGCTCAAAAGCTACCTTTGAGTCTTCACCCCAACATCACTATAGACAACAACGAGAACTCAGCACTAAACACTGTTTAAACCCAAAACAGACACAGCAGGGCGGCGCCGGCTCTCAACTTCCGGAGCTGAAGGCTCGCACCTTACACAGTTACACAGGGGCACGGTCACGGTCACCCACCCACCAAACTCAGACAAAGGGGTGGGGGGCATCTCTGTTTTCACTTTTCTGATACAGCTTAGCCACAAACTGGTAGACCATGCAAACTCACAGAGCTGGGCCACCAAGTGCTGAAGTGCACAGTGCTGATCTTCTGTTGAATCACTTACTAATGGGTTCCAAATTGTCTGGGTTTGGCAAATACCAGGAGAACATTACCTGCCTGACTGCACTGTGCCAGCTGTGAAGGTTGGTGGAGGAGGGATGATGCTATGGGGTTGTTTTTCAGGAGTTGGCCTAAACCCCTTAGTTCCAGTGAAGGGAAATCATACACACACACACACACACACACACACACATACACATATAAATAATATATATATATATATATATATATATATATATATATATATATATATATATATATATATATATATATATATATAAAAAAATATATAAATAATGTGTGTGTGTGTGTGTGTGTATAAAGGAAAATTATTGATGTGCTAAGAAATTCACACTTTGATATTAATTAAACAATGTTATTTTTTGTGTAATTAATGTGTGTAAAATTCATTTCTGCCAGGAAAATATTCCATTAAAAGTAGTTTTGATATCTTTATGTATGAAGCATCTGGCGATAAGAATAAGCAAGTTAATGACAGTAAATGGTCAAACTAAAAGCCTTTAGCTCTTAAGTGACATTGTTTTCTGGCAGCGTCTTGCCTAACAGCCCTTACTCGATTGAGTTAAACAGACTGCCATCTACTGTACTCACTGTGAAACTGAGAGCACAGTTTCCCCTGTTTATCAAATATTTGCTACTTGTTTAGCTTCCTGTAAGTTCTACTGCAACGAAGGCTGTGACAGCGGAAGGTAAACATTCACAACGGGAGTCTGACCCCAAGAGAAAACAGAGGGAAGGCAATAAAAACCTGAATTCTCCATAAAAAGATATACATCTATTTAAGCCTGAGTTTCAGAGCAAAGATATGACAGCAGGTCAGAAAACAGTATAATGCAGAGTAAGTCACTCATTTACAAACAACAACTAAGAGGATCGTTCACTACTGTTTCAGCCTCACTGTTACTGAACAAAGTGCCAGTCACGAAAAACAAGCCTTTTTCTGTCAGTAATGTCAGTTTGTTTTGCACAAATAGTACCATTTTGCCTGGTAGACCCTGAGGATAACAATGTTCTTGATGGATATATTAGCAACATAACTGAGATTGACAAAAAATAAAGCAGGTGGTGATGAGGCAACACATATCTTGTGAGTACTTGAAGGATGTACTTTTCTATTTTTTATCTTCACCAATTAGGACACACTTTGATGTGGTTTTAGCGTTAAAGAGTTAGAATGTATTTATAAATTGTGTTTCCTGTCTTCTAGCAGCTGGGTCTTCTGCTATAATCATCCAGTTGACTGGTCAAACCTATTTATATAAAGAGCTCTAAATGCTAATCTGAGTAAACCCTGCCTTTTACAGTAAACTCTTGCACAATGTGTGCAAGTGGGTAAGACTGCTGGCCTAGCAGTATGAAAGAACCGAGCAAATTATGTGAAAGAACTAGGCTTAAAGCCTTTTTTTATTCTATCAAATCTCTGGTATACTCCCATTGACTGCTAAAGGTGCATTTTATGGCTAAAAGTATGTGGATTCCCTCCACACCAAGCCATGTCAGTATGGACCTCGTGCTGTGAACAGGGGCACAGTCATGCTAGAACAATAAAGGGCCTTTTTCAAACTGTTGCCACAAAGTTAGAAGCATGACTGTCTAACATGTTTTTAGCTACGTTCACATTACAAGCCTCATTTCTCAAATCTGATTTTTTGCTCAAATCCGATCTCTCCAACACAATGGTTCACACTCGTTTAGGTAAGCGATTCAAATCTGTCATTAATGTGAACGAACCGGCGTCCTGAAATGACCCGCATGTGCACATCCTACTCAGTAATGTCACGTGAATGAATTGCGTGCGTCACATGCATCATTAGCAAACAGACTAACGGTCAGAACGAGCCTTCACTGCGAAGATAATTAACTCTGAACAGCTCTCAGCTACGGAGCCCTGGTGATGACATCAGGTCGGATTTGAAAAGATCAGATTTGCGTGTCGACACAGCCCTGAAAGCATCAGATCTGAGTCGCATTAGGGCAAAAAAAAAACGGATTTGTGCCGCTTCAACCTGGTAATGTGAACGTAGCCTTTGTATTTCGTAGCATGAACATTACCATTCACTAAAACTAAAGGGCAGAAACACTGAAAAACAGCCCTAGACCATTATTCTTCCTCCACCTAACTTTATCGTTGGTACTATGCATTCCGGTGGGTAGCGTTCTCCTGGCATCCGACAAATCCAGATTTGTCTACCAGATTGGCAGGTAGTGAAGCGTGAGTCCAACAGCGGTGGCTTTGCACATAGTGTGAGCAAATTCTCGGCCACAGAAAGTCATTTCACAAAGCTCCTGAAACACAGTTCACACCAGTTTCTGGTGCTGATGTTGCTTTCAGAGGCAGTTTGGAACTCTGTCATGATAATTCAACAGAGAATAAGCAATATATTTTGCACTATGCACTTCAGTGAGACTTATTTTACAGTAATGCCACTTACAGTTGACTGTGGCAGACCTAGCAGGGCAAACATTTCACAAACTGATCTCAGCAAAAGGTAGCATCCTTAAACATTTAAAGTAATATTAAAGTGTGTATGTTTTAGGCTAAGTTCACATTAAAAGTCTGAAGTGGCATACATCTGCTTTTTGTGCCTTAATCTGGCCCAGATCTGATGTTTTCAGGGCTATGTTGACACACAAATCCGATTATTTGCAGAAAATATATATGCTTGGAACACAATGACACTGCTATACTGGCGGCGTATGCACTACAGTTCCTAAAACTACGCACCCCAGTGCTCAGTGAGATTGCATGGTCAACTGCATTGTGGATGCATAGTAAAGCCACTTACAGTTGACTGTGGCAAGTTGAAAAGTGGATCGTCACCTCAGAACATGAGTTGACATGAGTTCTTATCCACTTGGACTTTCTTTATAGTGCTGGTGATGTTTCTAAACAATGCACTACTTCACAGCAAACTACTCGAAATGAGTTTGTTTATATCTCAACAACCACATGTCCCCTTAAGTACCCCTTAAGGTACTCTATATTGGGGAGCTATCAGTACCCAAGGATGTTTTGTGTGCATCACTGAAAGCATAAACAATTTTTATGGGAACAGTTATGGTTACGGTATTGGAAACATTAACCGGATCAGCTGGGTTGTAGATGAACACGGTCGTCAAAACGCAGCAGGGGTACTTAGCAGGGCAGGGGTCCAGTACGAGACTGGGCCACTGTGATGAAAAACAGAACATACCAACCAGTCGGTAAAATACTGTCACACTACTGCCCATGTTTTCCACAACTGGTAGTTTTGAAAATCATATCGCTGTTGTTGAAAACCTCGTATCTCCAAAATGATAACTTTACAGGAGAAGGAAAAAACATACTTTACTTTTAATGTAAGTCAATGGAAACAGACTTTCTTTTAAAAGTAATTTAAAATAAAATAAATTTTGGGCCATTTCTTCAGGTCCATTCTTCATGAAATTTACACACAAAAGGGCAACAGGCATTTTCAAATAATGTCAACAACTGAAAAACGATACAAGGTTTTCTTCCGACAGCGGCAATATGCTTACATGGTGTTTATTCGTCAGGTAAACAAAAGCTGGAGACATGTTATGGCTCTACCAAAAACTATAAATAAAAGTTCTAACTTATCTGGACGGTGATGTTTGTTTATTTGATATTTGTTAACACCAGAGGGCAGTGGTGAGTAATCATCAGCCACAAAACAACATAAAACACTGCAGGACATACTCTGTCGTGCTGTATGAAAACTTTCAAATGTATCAGTATAAATATATCATCATGAATTTTCACCCCATATAATTCTTAAAAAAAGGTGGTTTGTCAATATAGAACTATGACTCAAAAACCATGTGCATGCTTAAATTGTTCTTTGCATGGTGAAATGGTTCTTCAAATGGATGGATGCTGTATATGGTTCTACACAGAACCTTTTTAAAAATGGTTCTATACATCACCGAAAAGGGTTCTGTTATGATGTCAAGCTTGTAACAACAGAGAACCCTTTTTGGTTCTATATAGAACCATTTTAAATTTTTTAAATTTTAAATTTTAATTCAATGATCAAAAACTTCAAACCGTTTTCCTTCAGTTCATTTACACTTACAGCACACAACAGCCTTTTACTGTTTCAGGCCTAAGTTAACAAAGCAATGTACATTACACAAAGTCTGTGCAGGTCACTGGACATTACTGCGTTTTATTTCTAAGCTACACATAATATAAAACGCATCAACTAAAGCCCGGTGGCCACTCACTCAAAGAAGTTTTCGTGGTACTTTTAAATGATAAGCTAACATGAAAATGAACAACGAGTGAACAGAATGACTCGACTCAAAGAAGGGGCCAACAGTGGAGTACTGCACAAAGAGCGAGGCTACTCCTGGTACCTGTTGTCTCTTTCCAAAAGGCCCACTTTACCCGTGGAGCTACGATTCAACAGAAACTAAAAGCGTGCTGCTGTACTGAACAGGCTTTCTGCGTCTCAGCGAGCTACTCTGATTGCCTCACCATTGGACTGCAAACCAGCACACAGATGGCAAATAACATCACTGTTACTCATGTAGTGATCCATAATTTCGCAACTGACTGGGACCAGCCCTGTGTCTCACGCTCAGAATAAGCTGCACAGCTGGACCATTTCAATACTGCACACGGACCCCTTTCTTTATTATGTGGGGGTGGGGACATTAATAATGAGTGTTCGCTAAGATGCACCTCAAATGTGTGTTTAATTGAGCAATAAAGCATCTAATTAAAACATGAAATGTAGAAGAAAAA